CACATCAAAATAATATACTATGGAAGCTGAGACCATTTGATATCAAAAGTCACATGCTTTCATGTCTTGCTATAAACAGCGCTAGAGTCAGTAGTTATTTCCATATGAAGCAACAGAAGCTGAAGTCTTTCTAAGAGTATTTTTAAGAATAAATACAATGTATGATTTACGGTTGTTGTCATTCAAATTTTCAATGATTAATTACATGTTTTCATCACTTTTGGGAGTAACTGACTAAAAGTTACAATGCTGCTACACATTTTTACTATAATGCAAACTATATCAGTAAACTATCAAAACATTATTCACACATTTTCTTATAGGAGTTATGTCCTTTGTTCTGTGACATATGTTTGGCTCAAATATGCTCATATTTAGAAAATTTAAATAAAGCAAAATTCAATCAAAAAGTTAATAGCATTTTCCTCACAATCTTTTAAAAAATGCAAATTAAATGGGCGTGGATAGCTGTGCGAAGAAGGGAGGGAGTGTGTGTGAGTGTGTGTGTGGTGGTGGCCATCACTGTCATGCCAATGTCCCATGCATATCGGCTGTCACTAAAAATCAGTGGTATAATGTGAGGAAATGATAGATTATTTTATATGGCTGGCAAAGTTAAAGTCTTATGAAATACACTGACACTTTATTATTGTCTTTTCAAAAGTATTATATTATTCCAAGTAGTATATTATTCCATTCATATTGGAATAATTATGGAAATGAAAATAAAGTAAAGCAATTAAATGACAGAAAAATACAGTATTTCAATTAAATGACATATACCAGGAAAACAATGAAAATTCTCGATGTCACTTTTCTAAATTTCAGCCTCAATATTTCAATTCCAAATTCAATTACAAAAATAAGAAATAAGAATGTTCAACAAAACAGAAAACAGTTCAGTAAATGAAGAGGGAAAAAATCAAATTCTAGTCTTCAGGAAAATCCAGGTAAAGTGAAAAAAATATATGCTATGTTTGTAGTTGTAGTTTGTAGTTCACACTCGCCAGGCCAACCAGGAATAGAAAATCCACAGAATTGTTCTGCCATCGAGGCGGTAGATATCAGCAACTAACGTTACGTTACCTCGTTGACATACTTTGACTTTACAAAGTTCGGAAATGTTACACAAACATAGCCACTTAATTTGTATTAACTCACCTTTGACGAAGCAATCACTGCACACGCACCATTTCCCATTCAGCTCCTCCCGACCACAGACATAGGTTTGCAAGCGGTTATTTCAGAGTTTTTCGGTCAATTTCTAGCATTTCCCCCCTCATGAACAACAGCTTTTGGTACACGATAAAAATTCGTGGTTTGATCGATTCAAGTAACCATAAACGACGCAAAACACAGGCATTTTGAGTTTGTTATGTTTTCTAAATGCAGCAAATCACTTCCTGCCGTCCATTTGTATTTCGCGCCATGGCAACGCAGTGGCGTGACGTCATATGAAAACAACCAGAGAATTTACATCGAAGGAAAGGGAAAAATAAAATAAAAAATAAATACCAAAACAAAAAAACACGGTCAATGAGAAATATAGATCAAGGAACAAAAGAAAACAAATTTCCAAAGGAAAGATTCGAAAATTTCTCCTATCTCTTGTATGGTTTCTGCACAGTGTGTTCAGTTTTCACAAGGCACTTCTCTGTCGTTCTCTTCCCCTGCGTCCCAATTCGCTTACACGCCCTAAAAGTATGTACTCTTTTTGTGTAGAAAAAGTACATACTTGAGTGTGTAGCAAACGAGTAAGAAAGCTTTGTGACATACTATCCATGATACTATCACAGTGTGACGTCATCTTTAATGGACAGCTGTCGCCGTGCTGCGTGCATCCATAGACAGTAAAAGATGATATTGGAATAAATCCCTCTGTAAATGCCTTTATAATTCCTATACTACTGAAGTGACAATTTCTACAGAGGCAAACAGACGTAGTAAAATAAAGGCCTAAATGTGTATTTCGGAGTTGTTGTTTTTTTTCCACTGCAAGCCTGAAAGAAGATGTTATTGAAGACAAATATCCCAAAATCTCAAAATTGATGAAAAAACCCCCGATGTTTTCTCCTGCCGTTTCTCGCCTTAATATAAACACACACTGTTATTTTGGACAAAGTTTTGCACTTTCACTTCAATGTACACTGATAGCAATGTGGAAACAGTGGTTTTACTGCAGTGATATCACGTTCAGTGCTATAAATCTCCCCGTTCCAGAAAATTTGGTTTAACATCAATTTATCAACAAAAGAGAACGATCTCTCAGCAGTTTTCTGCTATCCTATCGGCTATCGCCATAAACCGCCCTGTCATTCAATCAATATCAATCTTTGATTCGGGTGTTTGTGCAACCATGAAAACCGTAAAAATGGATCTTGTGTATTGTTTATATATTTTGTGTGTATGTCTGTGATAGAATTATTATTATTTAATTATCATTTAACAGTTTTGACATGTTATGTGTGTGTGTATATAGACCATTTCACAAGATGTAAACAACACTGGTCCAGAAGCACTTCCTGTTTCAGTTGTAACTGTTTTCTTTATTTCACATGTAAAGAAAACATCTTAAAGATGTTTGTTTTTTTGATTCAGTTTTAAATGTTCTGTTGGTTGTATTTTATCCCAGCTTTTATAACTGAAACAGGAAGTGCTTCTGGACCAGTGTTGTTTACATCGTGTGAAATGGTCTATATACAGTATATAGCCTATATACAGTATATCATAATATAAGTCTTGTAATACATTATAATATATAAAATACTACACAAATCTACTCTTGCAATCCATATCAATTGTACTTTGTAACCATAAATTTCATTTCCACCATGGTGGAAATGACTGTGGAGGAAGTGTTTTTTTGTGAGTCAGTTGAAGCTGTGCTGCGATTGGTCGTCACTGCGCCGATGGGCGTGGCTTCTCTGACTGTCGTAGTTCTTCTTGTCAATGACGTCAGAGCTAGAGGTTAACAGGACAACAGAACACATAGGGGCCTATCAAATATTGCGACATATATACAAGTTTTAATCAGTAAAAATGAAACTATATGTGTGTTCTAATTATTTAGTAATGTGAAACAAAGCTTTGCTTTCTGAACTGGATCGTAAAGTTAATTTATAGGTCCATTACCTAAATCTGGTGTATTGGGCCATCTGGTGGACAAAAAGATGAATATTCAGGAATATTACATTTGATTTTTTAATGCCATCCATTTTACATTACTTTGTTGATCACATTTTTAAATTCTTAATTTATCTTATGTTGTTTTTTTATGTTTGTTTAATAAGCAGCAATCCCACAAATACAAATATAAAATATGTGTCACACCAATAAATGACTGTAGAGTTGAACTGAAAACTGAATATTACCTAGTGAACTCCTTTACATCTATAAATCATGTTTAGTGTTAGGATAATACATTTAAAGACCCACGGACCAGCAATGATGAATAAAGACCAGGAGTCAAAGTGCAGTTAATTGAAGATTTTACTTAAGTTTGTAGGCCTCCCTCCCTCTGTATATTAGTTTTCACAGCAATATCTCTTCACCAAGGTTAGATCACCCATGTGCACCTTTGCCCTATTACTAGTACCCATTTGGGACCCAAATGAGCCCATATGAGCATCTAAATCGCCCCGTCTTAGAGCCCAGTATTGCCCCATCATGTGTGGGCTAATATACATGTGGGCCCGTAGACAAATTTCTATGGGCCAAATCTGGGTTGTCTATGTTAGGAACCAAGTGATAGTTTGTTAAAATCCACATGTTGGCTGGGTTTCTACTGTGTTGATGATTCGTCACTTAATTCTAACAATTCAGCCCTGCTGATACAAAATCCCTGTATCAAGAGGACTGATATTGCAGTCTCTCATCATTCTCTCCTGTATATTAGATGTGCCATTGTGTGAACATTGTATGATCAAGTCACTTTCCACCTTTGACTGTCTCAGATGCGATCTATTGATGAAAGTGCGACATGTTATTCTAGACAGGAATTAGGTTATATATTTGTATTATCTTGCTTAATCTGACTGACGTGTACGATAATTAGAACTATCAATATATTTGTACTTTTTTGTAAATTTTTGCATTAGGCCTACAGAACGACATTTACACCTAAATTTTTAGTAAACTTCAACTTTAGCAATTCTCACAATTCAACTGAAAAAAGTCGTAATCACACATGATCTCTTACTCAACAAAAATAGGAAATATTACACTGTAAATATATATATATATGTTCATGGTTTGTAATCACAACATTTCTTCTTTTGTCAAATCAAGTTAAATAATTTATGTGGCTGAGATAACATAATATTTTGAGTTTCTGATGATTAAATCTCCTTCATTGTATTGACTTAATTTTTCCATTTCAATCAACTTAAAAATTTAAGCCAACCAGGTTACTTCATTTTTTTTTTAAGTTAAACCAACAATATTTTTTAGTTCAGAATCGATTATTGGAATATATGCAATCTAACCTGGAATCAACTTAATACCAAAATTACTATAAGATGAGGATGAGATGGTTCAGCTTGAATACAAAATACGATATTTTGTAGAATGTTAACGGACCCCATTGACTTCCATTTTTACCCATTAGTGCTACTCTATGGGAGTCCAAGTTTATATATATCAACGTTTGTGTCCAACAGAAGAAGGAAATTCATACAGGTTTGAAACAACTTGACGGTGAGTAAATGAGGACAAAACTAAAATTGTATGAAAAAACTATTCATTTACTGTAACAATTGTTCAGCGGCAGACACACACACACAAGATGCAGAGCCTTTCTAAATACCCACAAACCCAAACTTGCAGTCTTTGCCCTTGACCACTTGCATAACATTGTGTGAAGTGTGTGTTGAAATTTTGATTACCTGATGACACAAAATTGATGACATTAAATAAGTGTTTATAGAGCTTTATTTTGATTTTTGGTAATTTGCAAGATAAAATACATTTCAAAATAACTTCCCATTTGACTAATTTTGTGGATTAAAAAAAAAAAAAAATTGCATTTAGGCAAGGCAAGTGTATTTATATAGAACATTTCATACTCTATGGCAATTCAAAATGCTTTCAATCACAAAATAAAAGCAAGGGGAATTAAAACAGTTATCTGTTAAAAGAGTTAAACAATTTAAAAACGATACAGAACATGATTCAAAACAATGGGTAAGTCATAATCACACTATAACTGAATACAAACTTTGTTTCGAAGCAAAAACTTTATGCAAATTAGGAAAAAAGGCAAAGACATACTTTTTTTTTTAGGAATTGAAAACAACATTTGCCATGATTCTGCTTTCCCACCCTTTTCTTCAGGATTATGGGAAGTGTAGTTCTTTTCCAGGAATTTGGGAAATAAATATATTTTTGTGCATTAAATACATACATGTCTCTAACAGCATGATCTCATAACATCAAAGATTCATGATCGCTCTTGACTGAGCTTTATGACATAAATATTCCTAAGAGAAAACATTACTGATGTGAATCTTGAGATAAAACAATGGCACGTATATATTTAAATTTTTGATTTGTTAGTGCAAGTTAAAACATGTCAAACACACGTTAGCCGCCTTGGACTAGACTATAGCCTTTTTTGTGGAACCTGCAATACAAGTTTTACAATATTCCAGTAAAAAAGTATTTTTTTTTTTTTTTACTTTTGTCACCATGAAATCAAAATGGACATTTAGGATTTTTTTTTTTAGAATATTGCAGTGATTGCAATGATTTATCCATGTGCATATTTTTTTAATTCATTCACCCTCGTAATTTTAATCAAAATAAACACCAAAGGCACTTACTATAACAACTTCTCTGAATAAAAGTGCGTGCTGCTAAATGTACTTTGGTTTATAAGCTGAGGATATATCAGTATCTCTGCAGTAACTTTCTTCACACAACATTTCATGACTCTTAGATCATAATATTACAAACCAACAACCAAACCAACAATTTTATTTAATTAAAATTGGAAATACTGTGTTAACTCTGATCTCGAGGGATCCTGTCAGATCATGTGACCTCCATATTTCACCTGTAAGAACAGAACTAATCACAGAATGTGAAGAGAATGAAATGAACACTGATTTAAAATTACAGATGTAATCGATCAGTCAACAGGATTATTTAAAATGCTTAAAAATGTTTTTTTTTTCTTCATAAAAGTGAAATCAGAGAAATGTGTAATCAGACATTTCCACAGTGAAACGCTATTGTAATCTTACCTCATCCTTGTAATGGATCCATCTATATGCTGCTTCTTTTTATGACTGATATGAAAAATAAATCACACAAACAATTAAATGCAAATTTAGCAAAATAGAGATGTTCCTCTTGCTATAGTCTCTAGGTGATACTTGCCATTTTTACGTGTATTAAAATATCTTTCGTTAAAAGTAGTAAATGTCTTTCTTTTATATTTCAGTATCTTATTTTCCACAGCAACATACATGTTCTCAGATAGGTTCATATCTGAATGAAGATCAGTGTGTCTGAGGCGTTTTCACACCTGAACATTATTTGTTTTGTTCTGAAACAGGGACTTTTGCATTTTCTTCTTGGTCCGGTTCGCTTTCACAAGCCAACATTTCAAGCGTACCAAAATGTCACATGTGAGTACGACTGTCCTCTTATTGGTCAGCATTTCCTCCGCATCATCATCAAGATGATTGATAAGTTCACTCCACAAGCTTATTGTGGCTTTCTTTAAATGTTGACACACACACATACACACACACTAGGCCTATATGAATGTAGCCGTCATTCCTGCTGTTAAATACTTTATTTAATAGTGCAGTAAATCAAACGCGCTCCCTCTGGATCTCGCAGCGCTGTCTAGAGGTTAACTGTGTAAAGACTCACACAAACACTATGAAAGTTATAAAGCAGGAATCAAGGCTTCTTCAGGACAGCATCTAGCATTGAGAAGCTCAATCACACAACATCTTTAAGATGAAGAGATGCTCTTTTGGTTTTCAGTTGTGATAACTAATGTGCTCACTCACAGAATCAGACACTTCTGCTATTTATAGAGCACAATTAACCAGTATGAATTACAATACCATTTGGTTATTGATCCATTAGGTCACATTACTTTTACACTTCAAGCGAACGTCCCGAGAGTCTCGGAGCGATTGTTTTGGTTCTGATCTGAGCACGTTTGCTGTGTTCACACACGCCTAAACCACAAACCGAACCAAGGGAGAAAACACACCAGGTTCCTGAAACAAACGCTCAGGTGCAAAAACACCCGTAGAAAATAGTAGGCGTATTTGTTAAGCTTCTCTGTAAAGCAGAGGTGGGGAACGTTGATTCTGGAGGGTCTCTCTCCATCAGAATGATGTTTGTTCTTTAGTCTAAAGCTAAAAAGCACAAGATCAGTGCTGAATTAAATATTTCTGTATTAATTGTGTTTCTTTTGTAATTCTGTTTAAAATTATATATCTGTAATACCATAATTTTGATGAAGGCACGTCATAAACAGACACAAACATCCATCAGAGATCAAACACTATAATATCTGCAATAACTGTGTTTGAGTTACAGACACACAGATGCAGTTCACAGTGGGTCAGTATCTGCCATTCATCTGTTATTGTCAAGATGGGGAAGGGTTTTTTTGAAATATGCTGTTGGCCAATGCTTATGTTTAAAATCAATCCAAACAAACACACCTCTTCATCATCGCTCCGCCTCTAAAACTCACAATCCAATCCCACGATCGCCTGCAAGCGAGTCGAGTGCACTATCTAGTGATGCACGAATAATTGCAATTTCCATGTAATCGCACTGAAACCGTTTGGCTTAACACGATAATGAAATCGCAAAGGCTGTGATTAATTTGTTATGCGCAGCTTGTCATTGATGTACGGCTCTGTAAACGCTGCTCCATCTAAAAGCACTGCGAGTTTGAGTCACTTATAACATGCATTTGAAAAAGCAACATATCTGTCCAAATATGAGAAGCATTTCTGAACCATTTATGAACTTCTTGTCCAACAAAAGACAACATTTAATAAAATCCTTTACTCCAAATTCACTTCATAACTTTCTGTGAAATTATGTACTTCGTTCTTACACAGAATACGGAAGTCGTGTGTTTATTAATCATGTTTAATCAAAGCATTTCAATCTTCTGTTTATTCAGTTACTGTTTATTGAACTTTCGTTGCAGAGATATTTGGTGTGTGTGTGAGAGCGCCCTCTGGTGTTCAAATGTATGGTGTGTATATATGTATGTGTGTGTGTGTGTGTGTGTATATATGTGTGTAAAACACCCTCTGGTGTTCCGATTTTTATATATATATATATATATATATATATATATATATATATATATATATATATATATATATGAAGAGTTCAGATGCAAAAGCCTCTAAATGCCATTTGAAATTTTCTTCTTTAATGATGATTTTTATCAAGTTTGTATATTTAAGTTCAGTAATTTCACTTAAATGGCAATGATGATTACCTATTAATTGTTATTTAAGTGAAATTACTGAACTTAAATATACAAGTTTGATAAAAATTATCATTAAAGAAGAAAATTTCAAATGGCATTTAGAGGCTTTTGCATCTGAACTCAGGTGTCTGTGTGTGTGAGCACCCTCTGGTGTTCAGATACATATGTGGTGCAGATGCAGGATCTACTACTGATCAGCTGCTGCACTGAAAAAATGCACATAAAATAATCACAGCCTTTGTCAAATCGAGTGTTTTCATTGTGATTATTTGTGCAGCCCTCACACTAACAATAACACGGTTGCCAAGGCGACTCTCACTAGATGGCCTCCATTACGCACATAATCCAAGAGAAGATACTTATTTATACAAGCAGAAGCGTAACAGGATATTCTTCACGAAAAATAAAGTGCAGATGTTGAACGAATGACAAGGAAGCACAAAAGATTTACGTACAGTAATTACACCATAGTAATTCAAATCATCTCGTCCTCTCTCCTCCACAATCATACGGCCCTAATGCTGATTGGCTAAACGTTTGTTATTGTGTCGGACCGACTAACATCCAAACAGCATATTTCAAGAGCGACTAACCCTACCTTTAAAGGGAACCAGACTTTTATGTTTTTATATTATATGAACTGTGTGTCATACTTACCTCTGCGAGGAACTTGTTTAAACCTCCTGCGGCGACAGTGACTCACACCACAAGCCACCAGCAGAATACCAACAGCAACACCAAAAGCAGGACATATCAATGTTACATAATCTGGAAACCGACATGAATCTGTAATGTTATAGAGAGAACGTCATTAGTGTGATGTGTCTTATATATCAAACATTATAAACATCAGTGAAGATCTGATACTGTAATGATAAAGAAGGTCATTAGTGTGAATGTGTTTGATCTATAAACATCAGCACTATATAACCTGAGATAGATGCTTTACAAGGATAAAAAGCTTCATTAATAAATAATTAAACATTATATAATGCTTAACAGATTGTTAGTTAAAATATATTCAAATAGCTCTGAGATAACATGAAGATTAACATCATTATTATTAATCATGAATATGTTTCTTACACAAACGCATCACCACGTCAGAAGGCCTTTATTTATCCCCCCGAGCTACTTGTGTTTTTCAAGTTTATTTATATAGCACATTTCACACAGTGGCAATTCAAAGTGCTTTACATGGAAGAAATTAAAATAATCAAAAGAAATCAGAATAATTAAAACAGTTTAGAATAAAAAATGTGAAATAATGAAAAATAAAATACAGTAAATTAAAACAATTTAGAATAAAACGAAGTCGGACGAACAGTGGCTCAGTGCTCATTCAGTAAACGCACAGCTAAACAGATGTGTCACAACAGTGGCTCAACTAGAAGTTATTTTTGTTGTTTGTTTTTTCGCACAAAAAGTATTCTCATCGCTTGATAAACTTATAGTAGAGCTGTAGTCACATGGAATATTTAAACATTTTCTTCATTGACTTTCTGGGCCGTCAAGTTTCAATCCTTTAGGAGCCTATGTAGGACTGATCCAGCTCTCAGATTTAATCAAAAATATCTTCATTTGTGCTCCGAAGATGAACGAAGGTCTTACGGGGTTGGTACGAGTAATTAATGACTTAATTTTCATTTTTGGGTGAACTATCCCTTTAAACCACAATGACGTGATAATTAGTGAAATGGATCTTACCAATAATTTAAATAAATCTAAATAATTTTAATATGTTGTTTTAGTAGTTAGTAATAATATAATTTATTTTCTTTAAAATTATCTTGATATTTCATTTTGCAGTGTTTTCTTAAAGTCATTAAAATTAATTTAATATAGTGATTCAATTTTTTATGTCATTTTTGATTAACACTCGATGTACTCACCACAGACAGAAAGAACGAATTTCCTGAGTATGACGTGTCTGTCGCTGGTGATATCAAGGTAATAGAGTCCAGAGTCTGTGGTTCTGGTGTGTGTGATGATCAGAGATCCAGTTTGATTATCCAGCTGCAGTCTGCCTCTGAATCTCCCATCAAGAACATCATCAAATGTGATGACGATTCCAGCCGTTTTATTGACTTTTGCTACAACTTCATGCTCAAATCTCCATTGTACCCGATCATCTCTGTGTAGTTCAGTAACACCAGATCCTAGAGTGACATCAACTCCCTCGTTCACTGACAGTATGTCCTGTTTGTCTGTCTCAGGATAAAACATACAAGAATAAAATTCATGAGAACATTCACAGACAGACAACCATAATAAATCCTATACACAGAATTTATTTAGCACCAAATGTCTTGAGAACTTTGGTTACTAATAAACACTAAAGTAACAGTTTAAGATACAGATTTTTTGTCTTGATATTTTTGCATAAACGTCAAAGTATGTAAATTCTTCTGATTTGAATACAACCATTATTACATTTAAACACTGAAGCGACTCACCGGTAATAGTCACATTGAATGACTTTTGTATGATGTGTTTTCTCCTCTTGATATCAACTTCATAAAGTCCAGAGGTTTTGGATGTGATGTCACTGATAATGAGATTTCCAGTCTGATGATTCAGATGCAGTCTGTGTCTGAATATCCCATCAGCAATATCATCAAATGTGGAGATGATGTCTTCATCTTTTTTGATTTTAGCAATATCATATTTCTCTCTAAACCTCCACAGTATCTCATCATCTTTCAGTATTTCAGTATCAGGGTGTAGAATAACAGAATCTCCCTCAGTCACTGACACCACCGTCACTCCATCAGATCTAGGATCAGTCTCAACTGAGGAACAAACCAGAAGAGTTTATGTCAGTTATCACTTTTATAACACTGATATATATATATATATATATATATATATATATATATATATCAGTGTTATACCACCGCCGCTGGGCGGTGGTATATCTCAAAATTTACTTTTGTCTGTGACAAAAGTGCACATGCCTATCTTTATAATTCTATAAAAGTCTAATTGTAAAGTCTAACCAATTAGTCTAAAATAATTTTAAGTAATTATAAACTTTAAGTAATTATAAATAATTTTAATATAATATCTCAAAATATATTTTTGTCATTACTTTTGTCTGTGTCACACACAGACACATGCCTATCTTTATAATTCTATAAAAATAGTTTTGACCTCTATAGGTTTTTTTAATTTGACACAAATACTAAATTTAACTTGCACTGCAATGCAACAGTGAAAGTACAAAGTTTCAAACCTACTCAACTCCATTTCTTTATTCATGATTGATTAGTATTGTATTGCATATAATCTGTGCTGGTCAATTAGTCTAAAATAATTTAAAAAACCCTAGATACCAGTAAAAAAAAAAAAAAAAAAACGTGTACATGTTATTTATTTTAAATTGGCTACTTAATTGATTATTCCAATATCCAAATATGATATTAAATCCTACAGGGAAAGGGCTTATATTTGTCGCCTGCATGTCGCCTTGCTTTTGGCTTGCTTTGAGCTTGCTCAGTTGGGGTTATTTAGTGTTTAGCAATGTTGTTTATCTGTGTTGTGCTACTTTCATGTTATCACTGTGAAGCTGCTTTGATACAATCTGTATTGTGAAAAGCGCTATATAAATAAATGTGACTTGACTTGACTTATATTTGTGCTTTCTTTGCATTTGAACATACACATTATAAACAGGACATGCATTAGCTGAATAAACTTTAGCCAATCCAAATATATTTATAGAAACAGTTAACAATGAATAGACAGGAGTCCTGTCACATGACCAATAATATAATTGTTCAAATAAGACGAATCCGTCATATATAATGCGGGTTAATAGTAAAGCGTCCGTCGCTTAACTAATTGTAAAAACACGAATAGACAAGACAAAAAGCTTTGACATTTTGACAAAGAAAACACAAGCAAGCCTGTCAAACTTTGCCTGTCAATTTTTATATTATAAATATCTTCTCTCTCTGTGTACGCGAGTCTGTTTGTGAAGCGCTCCGGACGTCACGTGACCTACTCTGTTTAACCCGCCACATTGGAAGGCAAGGCGGTCAGGGACCGGGACGTGAATGAATGACGGCAGCTTTAGTTTCAAGGCAACAGAGTTCACAGCACCCTTTAATTCAAAAATACATATAAGCTATGTATACTCTATGTAGATCTATAATGCCCCGGGGTGCCTTTCATGTGTATTGATAAAGGAACTGATAGTTTTCCTGAAAGTAGGTTAATACGAGGAAGAAGAGTCAGCCTTCACAGAACATAACATATTTTTATTTATTTTATTTTTCGTGCATTTATGAGGGAAAAAAATGTAACGGACGGACATGACAGTTCTCCATTATAGACCGATGTGAATGTGACTTTAAAACTTTCACAGACTTCAGAAAGCACAGCCTTTCTTTAAAGTAGCCTAATTGTATCTTATACAATTCCTATCTTATTTTAATTAATGTTTCATCAACCAATCGCCTTGATTAAATAAATAAGACATAAATGTAGAAGATGATAGAAAAGAAACAGATCCTGCACGTGAACTGGACTCTCATAAATAAACCGAAACTCACCGTAAATGTTGCTAGGCTACTTGCCTCACAAACCTAATAAATGTATAGAAAGCGTGATGTCAACTTTTAAAACAGAACATTTAAAAACGAAAAACATGATCTCTGCATGCTTATGTAATAACCCATATGAAATGTGCGCATTTCTCTCTGGTGCGTTATGTGAAGATCGCGAGTCAGCAACTTCATATCTTGAAGATGACACACTGACACAGAAAAACCTTGTTTAATAATAAACAATTCAAATGTCTCCTTGCTATATTTGACATAGGCCTATAATCATTACCTTTGCCGATTCTTTGCAGCTTTTGATACTTTGGAGTGCCACCCTTGAAACGTGATTTTTTTTTTTTAGTATTATTATTTTTTTTAAATCTAAAATAAAAAAAAAATCATGATACGAACCGAATTTTGGTATTTTGTTACAGCCTTAGTAGAATGAGAAAGCAGGAGTTTAGTTGTTTGTTAGTTGTAAAAAATTTTTTAAAAAGGCTATCTGAACATTTTTGCCAAGCGCAAACCAGTACAGAAGTAATCAATAAATTATCGGGGAGGGTCATGCTTTTTTCACAATCGTTTTGGAGGGTCATAGAAAATTACTGGTGAAGGGAGTCTCTTCAAGTCTTTTTTTGACTTTCCCAAATTTTTCCCAGACATGAAAATATTGTAATGATGTGTCATTAGTTGTCCATTGAAATAATCAATAAAAAAAAGAAAAAGAAAAACCATTTATGGAAAGTGTGTGAAACATTGTGTTTTATAGGATAATGATAATATCTTTACTGACACTATTGTACAATTATTATTTTATATCTTTATGGTGGGATTAAATGGGTTAATCAACAGTTTAAACATTCCCCAAAGTCATTTTGAAATTTTATGGTTTTAAATTTTAAATAGAATTTAAATCATTCAACATAGCCGCTCTGGCGCTCTCCTGATTTGCCTGCCAAAATGGCGGAGTTTAGATTGCGTGACGTCAGCTGCCGGAGCTCTTGAGAGCTCGCGCAGCACTGATACATGAGATCATACAACGGTCGTTTTTAATCCATAATGTTAACCAAGACACGAAACGAGCGGTTTGTGTGAGAAAAAGAACAGTATTTATATCGTAACTTTTTACCTCTTGTAACCACATAGACATATACACTAGACCTCACCTGGGGGTTCTAAGCATGCATCAAAACCGCCGCCATCTTGGAACAGGGGTCTTGTCATAGGAAGTAGCTAGATTGCCTTTACTTCTAATTCATTGATGGTGGCGGACTTTTGTGCAGCGTATGATGTTCACGGATGAAATCTGAACTAGGAAGAATGTTTTAAAAAAAAAAAAAATTGAATTTTTTTTTTTCTTTCTGGAATCAATGATAAATACATGTCTGACCGTTGGAACAAACCAAAAAACAAGAAAAATCGCATTCATGATGAGTTATGGTGATTTTTTTCCGTTAGACCTGTGTCTACTACATTGACGCTGATGCATTAAAGTGGAGGGGCTCCCCTGTTTCAAGATGGCGGCTCTATTGACGCATTCGTTCTAATGAACTGCCGTATCCAAGGTGAGGTCTAGTGTATATATCTATGTTGTAACCACAGCCACGTCCAAGTGATCTGACAGCACGGGCGCTTCTGTCTGCACATGCGTGTGTACGTCACTCTTTGTTTACACAGAGATTTGGGAAGTTTTACCTTTCACTGTGAAGATCTAAAAATATTTAGATATACATGAAATCGCAATGGAAGCCGATTTCGATATATCTAAATATATTTAGTGAAAGGTAAACCTTCCAAAATCTCTGTGTAAACAATGAGTGACGTACACACGCAAGCGATCACTTCCCACGGAACGTTGGACACAGTTCAGTTCGGTTCAGTTGGACATTGGAGGTAAAAGACGATATAAATACTGTTCGTTTTCTCACACAAACCGCTCGTTTTGGGTCTTAGGCCATCAATGTGTACTTACATTTACGAGTCATTAAATCATGTTTAATTTGGACTTCTCGGTGCATGCTCTTTGAGGTGGTGACCATAGACCTGCATTATATGACTGACAGACAACAACGGTTTGACCTTAAAATATCGAAATTGAAAATACTGTGGAAACAAAGACACCTACATTTCGGATGCCCTTGAGGTAAGATACAACATATCAAAAATGTATTTCAAAGTGAACTATCCCTTTAAATGGTCTGTCAGTTTTCTTGTCAGATAACGACAAATATTTTATTCATAAATAAAACAGAATTCATACATTTTTGGTATAAACAACCGTTTGCCAGTAACATTTAACAGCTCTTACAAAAAAATTTGGCAAATTTAAATGGTTTATAATGTGTTAATTATGTAACCAATTGTTAAATTAAAAAACTGAGACACTCACCCTTGACACTGAATGTCTGCACTGAGGACCCTCTGGTGGTTTTGATCTTTAGTTCATATTCTCCAAAGTCTGTGGTTCTGATGTTTGTGATCTTGAGATCTCCAGTCTGTTTGTCCAGCTGCATTCCGTCTCTGAATGCCCCATTAGTAGTGATGGAGCCACCACTAATTACAGCAATGTGCTTTTCATTTAACCTCCATTCTATCTCATCATCTATCTGTATTTTAGTAAAATTAGAAAGTAAATTAACAGACTCTCCCTCAATGGCTGACACTGTTTCTACTATATCTGCATCACCAAACACACCTGGAGAACAAACAGAAACAGACAGTCAGAAATTAAACACATAAAACACTCATGAGTCTTCCCGAATGACCAATAAATCTCGCATGATTTGCTGCAGTCTGCATTAAATCCGAGACAATACTGTTCTGTTTATGCCCATCATGTATGAAGTGTACATGTATGCATATAGCCTAAAAGTGATATAAATAGTATGTGGCAACTAACAACAACAACGTATAAATGCATTTGAGGAACCCAAACTCATAACTCACTCTTAATAACAATTACACACAAATGAGTATAGCAACATTAGTTATTAGGCTATGTTTGAGTTAGATAAATTAGATTAGATTCATTGGAACACAACCATGTGTTGAAAACAACAAGGCCTGTACACTACCAGTGACTACCATTGGATATTACTTCGACTAAAATATCATTAGTCATTATTGTGCACTATACAAAATATGTCGCACAGTTATTACATTTTGAAATTCAAAAAATCAGAACATATTGAAAAGAATGAACGTTTCCGGTGTGTAGAAAACGAAATCGCTGCAGTTGTTAAATAAAACCACTTACAGGTCGCGCATAATAAGAAGAGAACATGTATAAGTGCACTCTTCATGTTGATGTAGAGATGAGTGTTGGATAGTAGATGATCCGTTGAGTTATTAAAGTCCTTTTTTTTTCTCTGAGTGTTTCTGTGCCGCACCCTGCTGAACCCCGGGCTGAACCAGGGATTCATACATTTTGGGGCAATGGGGCAACTCGCCCAGGAGGCGGGGTTACGTCCTGCGTCACATGCGGGTTCTCGTCGACCAGGGTGACCGCGCCCCATAGCGTGCACAGGCAGGCACAGAACTAGCTGGCGAACCTAGGTCTTAAATATAATAAGTTATTTTTTTTATAACACGTTTTTTTTTTTTTATGGAAAGTGATGTTTAATTTCCATAGTCTTTGTTTAGTGAACGAAAGCGAAATCTGTAATTGCTGTCTTTCAGTTTGTTTATCGTTACCTAGCTTACCATGGGTACAAGATGTGCTGTAGCCTTTACAATGGCCAAGTCGCGTTTCATATTAACAGATGAATAGGCTTCGCTCAGTTTATAAAATACATCCAACCTGAAATGTCTCGTACAAACTATGAAGGGACAATGAATCAATCAATACACTGACATGGCAATGCTAGTCAGATAGCCTAACTTGCTTTGTTTGCACAGCCTTACCTTGATTTTGTCACTCTTTTCTCCACTCCGAGACCTACGTCTCGTGACAGCGGGGAAACTTTTACCTCGATAAAGTTAGGCCTACTTATTGTAATGTAGAAAAGTAAACTTCCATTAAACTCCAGCAAACCAGTTCATGTTTCTTCTTTCTAAGGTGATTCAAGCAGTAACGACTAATTAGACTCAATACAGATATTACACAGTTGGAATTATGAAATAGAAACAGGCCTTAATGCAAGATTTTTAATCATGTCAATACACATGATTTTGTAATGCAATGTTTTCAACAATATATAAATTTTCCCTTAACACCCCCCCTTACCAACAACCACTCTTAGAAGAAAAGGTTCTATATAGAATCTTAAAAGGTTCTAAAGCGCTACGTATTTGGAACCCCTAAAATGCAATTCACGTGAATGAACAAAATGCAAGATATGGGAATTAAAAAATGTAATTAATCAATATCACACAAAGAGTGACATTTCAGTTTTTATTCTCCAAAAATCAGCATGATTAAAATGTGACATTAAGTTACTACAACAGTTTAATAAACAATAACTGAATTACAACTATAATGTTGCAGAATAATGTAATATATGAATGAATAATAGCCTATAAAGAAACTTTGTGCTAAAAGGGTTCTTTCTTATCATTATAAACATTTTTTAGCATGTTCCTTTGGAGTTGAGTTAAAAATGCTTCATATATGGAAAGCAAATGAAGCATTTTTTCAAAGGCCCCGTTCACACTGCAGAAAAAAGTGGCCCAAATCTGATTTTTTGGGGGTAAAGTGACCAGGTCAGAGTTCTTCAGAGAGTGTGAACACTCAAATCTAGCCCAGATCTGATCTTTTTAAATCAGATTTAGACCACATTCATAGGCCCCGTTCAATTATGTGCCGGCGAGTATAAGCACTAGACACAACAGACACAGACAGTAACATTAAAAACTTGAATACATATGGAGAACAGTGATGGAGCGAGTCAATGGAGGGAGAGTGTGGTGTTAGTCCTAATTAATATATGGGCTAATTAAAAATAGCCAATTTTGCTTTATTTCTCTTCATTCTTCTCCTCATCATCACCTGCTCATTAATTTTACAGCTTCCATTACATAGACATTTAGAAATAAAAGCGTAAATGCTGACTTCCTCCATAACTACACGAACATTAGTGCAACAGTGTGCTGTGTACAGTCAAGTCAAGTCACATTTATTTATATAGCGCTTTTCACAATACAGATTGTATCAAAGCAGCTTCACAGTGATAACATGAAAGTAGTACAACACAGATCAATAATATTGTTAAATATTAAATACTAAGAACCCCGACTAAGCAAGTCAAAAGCAAGACAGTGGCAAGGAACCAAAACTCCATCAGATTGGATGGAGAAAAAAAAACTAGGGAGAACCCAGGCTCAGTCGGGGGCCAGTTCTCCTCTGGCTTACATTCATATTGTTTATCTATAAATATTAAATATAAATATTGTTTAAGTGCGTATGTCATTGTTGTTCTTTTGCGCATGTGGGTTAGTTTGAAACATGCAAATAGTTCACATTGGAATCAGATATAGGTCACATCTTAAAAGGTAATGTGAACAGCCAAAACGAAAAATCGGGACGTAACCCCCGGGCGAGATGCCCCAAAATTTATGAATCCCGCTCCCTGCCGAGATGCGAGAGCGTGTGACGTCACGGGAGCATAGCGGCACAATAATATCTGTCTGCAGAGCCGCAGAGCCGCAGTTTCACCCCAGCAGTTTTACACCAGCAGTTTTACCCCGCGCATGCGCAGTTTTTACACCAGCAGTTTTACACCAGCAGTTTTACCCCGCGCATGCGCAGTTTTTACACCAGCAGTTTTACCCCGCGCATGCGCAGTTTCGCCACAACAGTTTTAAGCAGTTTTATCTGCGCATTCGTAGTTTCAATATAGCAGTTTTACCCGCGCAAATTGTTCAGTATTAAAACGATCTAATGGTTATTTTTACCAATTAGTTTTGCTTATTAGTCTGCAGAGCCACAGTTTCACCCCGCACATGCGCAGTTTCACCTCAACAGTTTTACCCGTGCACGCGCAGTGTCAATCTATATAGTATTTGTTACCAATTATTTTTGCTTACTAGTTATTTTTTTGCTGTTGCTCGCAGGCTTTCAGGTTCCTTTACTGAAATAAAGCAGTGCTTGTATCAGGAGCACACTAATCTTTTACGTTTTTCCTCCAAAACAATAAATAGCCTGGCCTATATATATATATATATATATATATATATACACACTTAATTGCTCAATACCTGGTATAACACAAACTTCTGATTAGACATTCAAAGGCGAACTATTAGTCTAAATCAATATATGTCTAATTATTCTTAAATTAATTAAATCTGCCTGATGAAACAAATGACTTGAACACAAATTATTAACAATTATTTCAAATATTTTATTAATTTTGAAGACATTACCAAGAATACAATTATATTTCAATTCAATTACCAGAGAGACATACTGATACAGACAGACAGGCATACGATTCAGACAGACAGGCACACTGATACACATACACAGTGATACAGACAGACATATTGATACACAGCCATACATACTGATACAGACAGACAAACTAATATACATACACAGACATACTGATACAGACAGACAAACTAATATACATACACAGACATACTGATACAGACAGACAAACTAATATACATACACAGACATACTGATACAGACAGACAGGCATACTGACATACATACACAGACACACTGAGACAGACAGACATATTGATACAGACAGACCGTCTAATATACAGTACATACACAGACATACTGCTACAGACAGACAGACAGCAAGTCTGTCACCAATTAGAAAATAAATAATAATAATTAAATGTCAGGGTTTTAAAATGATGACACTCTTACTTTTTTCTTTGTCCTTAACCTCAGACATGAAAAAGGGCATGACCTCTCTGTTTTTAAATGTAAAATAGAATGTGGCTCTTAATTTATCATCCTCATCCAAAGTTGTGGCACAATGTGAATGTAGTGGAGAAAGGGCTTTCTTCCTCCTCCATGCTGTCAATGCGTGGTGGCAAGGACTTGATCTTCATCAGCGTGATTGTCCTTCAACCATTCCACACCTTTCCTGATGCTGCTCATCATATTGGCATTCTTTATGAAAAATATTTGAAAATTAACAGCAATCAACAATTTTATATTTTCAGATAAATAAAACGTCTAAATATATTATATACATTGCAGAACTCTACAAAATACCTCAAGATTGTGTGGTGTTGTGTCCCCCTCCAGCGCTCCTACTCCATACTCAATTTCTCCTGGTCCATTCATCTGTTGTAGAAGAGCACAGTGTGATGTAATGTATTTCAATTGTCCACTACAAAATGTTTCATTTAATAAAATGTATAATTTCATGCATATGCAATGCAGAACCAAACTAAGATTTGATTTACTTCGAATTTGCACAAGAGAATTAATCTATTTGAATCAATCCATTTTACAAAAACAAACAAAAATAACAAAGGTCAATGTCCCTGCCCTAATACAGGATGTCCACCAGTTAAAATTTTTAAGCCCTTTTTAATACCGCATTATAAAACTACAACATTACATTTAGCAAGAACATTTAAAGTAGTGCATGCCTGTAATGATCAGACTAGCTCTAGACCATTTGGCTTGGGGCACATGTGTGTTCACAGGGGTCTTTTAGGGTCTTTCAAGGATCAACCCTGCAACAATGGGACTTGGTGTGTTTTAAGAACCCAACTGATATCTGTGTCCCCTGAAAGTCTAAGTATAGAATATTGTCGACTGACAAAAGGATAGATAAATAAATAAACAAAATACTTTGACAACAAAAGCTCACTTCACTGTCAGTGAGGCAAGATCCAACCGCCATGTGCAATCCAACCGCCTCAGCCCAATGTGCAAGCCACCTTCCATGTCTGACAAAATACAAAAAGACAACAATGAGAACAAAGTTGTGCAGAATACTGAGTCCTGAGCAAGGACTGTCCCTAAAGTTAGTTTACTAAAAGTCACTCTGGATAATAGTGTCTGCTAAATGACAAATAATAATAACTAAACCCTAGAAACAAAATTCTCCATGAGGAGAAGGCACCACTTATTGTGTCATGAATGTCATGCTGAGAAAAAAGCAATACTTCCATGAATACTATTAACAACAATAATATTAATATAACGTAGAAATAAGACTTACAGCAGTGAAATCAACGGGTTCATTCAATACGATGTGTAAAGCATACTGAAACATTCATTTTACAATATATTTTTGATATAACAGAGTGGAGACAGACTGATAAAAGTCCAATAACTTACCATAATCATGAAGACCCGACAGGATGTCATATCGAGTTGATGGGAGATATGCTGAAATGGCAAATTGCATTTCGAAAAACAAAGAAATCAATCAGGACGTTAAAGTGTCCCGAAAACAAGACAACAAAATACCCTTACTTTGTTTTTTTTTTGTTGTTTTTTTGATCCAACGGCCTGGTGCTGAAAGTTTCCTGCGACATTAATATGTTAAATAAAAGAATGATTTGTCCAACAGTACTGCTGAACTGACTGCAGTAAAGACAATTTAATAACTTATTCAAAACGAGCGGATAAAACTGCTATAGTGAAACTGCGCATGCGCGGGGTAAAACTGCTGGGGTAAAACTGCTGGGGTAAAACTGCGGCTCTGCGGCTCTGCAGTCAGACCCTTCTCTAGCGGCACGCGGCCAAAGTTGGTGGTATGGCAAGCCATTTTGGCATTTACACAACTATGTTTTGACTATCCATAAAATATTTTGGATTGTTTCACAATTTTATTTCGAAAAATCATAGGCTGAATTTAATTTGAATCAGAATTCGAGATATCTGCAAAATAATTGCACTATGAAATCTGATTTAAGATTTTTAATTATTTTATTATTAGTCCTAACTAGGGCTGGGGGATGGCCTCAAAAAAATATCACGATATTTCAAGAATATTTGCGATAATGATATAATGAGGATAGGCCTATATTTTAATTTATTACATTTATCTTACCTAAATGTTTGCTCACTCATTGCGAGTTTACAATTGGGTCGTTTTGTTAAGAGTTCACTTAGCACAGGGAAGCTTGATTTCAATCTTTATATTAAATAGAAAAAAAGTAGCAAAAGGTCTAACAAGTAGCCTACAGAAATACTACAGAAACTGAATAAGGTAATCAGATGTAAAATGAAGGGCTGAAGGTTTATAGCTTCAAAGGGCTTTAAACGAGACCAGACGATGAATAAGGGTCTTATCTAGCGAAACGATCGCTCATTTAAAAAATAAATAACGTTTTATAAGCACAAACGCTCGCCTTGATTACATTTATTTAACTCATTCCCCTCACCATAGATAACTTGAAACTTTCCCCAAAACTAACATCCCAAACGAAACTAACACATGGGCAGAACCTGTTGTCCTGATACAAGACACATTAGGACTGATATAAATTTTATGATCCATATAAGGAATTTGCCGAGTTGTGTGATCTTGCTGAATAATAAACCATTTTAATCCATACATTCTATATTATATAACCAAGAAATGTATAATCATGTATTTTTCCATCTCATGATTTTCCTTTTATGTGGATTGGCCTATATATACATTCTCTATTAAACTCTTCTGGAATAAAGTTCCAGCATTTTGTAGGCCAAACGCAGAAGTGAGTTAGCATTTTAGCACTTCCGGTTCCCTCGCTCTAAAGTCTATGGGGTTTTTTTTTTAAAGGGTTTTTGCTAAATCGCCTGAAATAAGGTCTGTGGTGAACAAGTCTCGTAATATTTTCACGTTTTGTTCTATGACATAAAACACACCAATTATAACCTGCTTGTGTTTTTTAAAACTTTATATTCATGGGTTTCAGTCACGTGACTTTTTTTGTTGCGGCCGCCATCTTTAGGACCTTTGCGTAGCTTCTCCTGATCGGAAAGATGTCGCACAGTAAAATAGCACAGCACACCTCATTACAGATGAATTCTGTGGAGTTATTTCTGATAACAAATTCAATAATTGCATGACAAACTGAAAGATTCTAGTCAATATAGAACAATCAGATCTGTTTTTATTGACATTATCACATTTATAATTCCTTTTCTTGTTGGGAAATGAGAAACATTTTCCTTGTCAGAAAAATAAGCTGCCAAGTATTTATATAAAAAAAATATCAAAACTTAAACTTGCTTCATACAGACTTTGAGCAGATGCAACAAGTATCATTATTTCACAGTAAAAGCATTTGATGAAATGGAGACTTTCCTTTATCAATAAAAGTAACAGAAAAATCTAAAATCAAATAAAACGCAATTTAAAAGAGATAAACAGCATAAATGAAGTAATAACTTTCATAACAAATTCACAGCTGTTGTAATTAAACACAATTTGTTTTTCACAAGAACACAAAAGATCTTCCAAAAACCCACGACTTTAAAGCAATCTTTTCCTTGGTTACTAAAAAAAAAGGAGTCGGAGAATCTGACATTATTTTAGATATGACAAAATTACAGATTACATTATATTTTCATTCATGAGGTTAGCACCATGTTCTAATAACATATACTACTGTATAAAAATGTGTAGAAATCGTACAGGAACATTCTTTTGTCAAACTAAAACCAGCAAGCATCAGTGCTTGACCATTGATCAATATGGATATCAAAACAACAGGGCTTTGATTAATGAAATTATTCCTGTTGAAAAGCTACACTCAATATCACTGCCATATCATACCATCCACGATAACACCAATATAAATTTTTATGTGATAAAAAAAAAGTGTCATATCGCGATATCAATAACATAGCGACACAATGACGTATGCCGCATTTGTTTTTTTCAACCCAACTTTGGGTCAAATATGGACAAACCCAGCCATTGGGTTCAATTTTTACATTACATTTTTAACCCAACATTTGGGTTTCTCCATATTTGACCAAAAGTTGGGTTAAAAAAAACAGCATTTTTAGAGTGTATGAAAAAAAAAAAAAATATTGGCTCTTAGTAGCTCTTTACCAAAGATGAGTTGCCGGCTCAGGGATGCTGATCCTCCAAAGGCTGTCCGGTTAGAGATTTGTTTTTTGGGAATAACTCATTTATTGTCAGCACTCGTTTTCTGATTAATTATCAGATGGTATAGATGGGTGTGTTTATGAGGGGTTTTGGTTTTCTGTAAAATAGAAACAGTGACATGAACATGGGTATACATAATTAATAATAGTGATAATTAAAGATAGTGACACTAATATGCATGCATGCATAAAATAAGATGAATAATAGAACATGATCAACAAATGATTGAAAGCAAGTATGAGTCAAGTTGTAAGCTTTATATTTTATGGAGTGACATTTGTGGGTTGTTTCAAGCTAAAGTTGGGTCAAATATGGACCGTTGGGTTAAGTCCTATATTTAAATGTTTAACCCAATAGTTGGGTTCGTCCATATTTGACCCAACTTTGGGTTTAAACAACCCATCATTTTTTAAGAGTGTGCATGTAGCGCCGTATCAAGTGGTTTACAGCATTTTTTCCCCGTATAAAAATGAGAACTCATGAATAAAATCAAAGATTGCAATCTTACTTTTGCATTTACACACTGCACTCTGCAAATCAGGTGAAATATAAACACTTATTTAATATGCTGCTGTAACTTTACAGGGGCAGTTGTGGCCTAATGTTTAAAATGTCCGAATGTCGCAGGTTCGAGTCTCAGTATCAGCAGAGAAATGAGGTAGGGGAGTGAGCAAGTCTCTGAACCCCAAATTGCCCACTGCTGCGTGTGTGTTCACTGTGTGTGTGTGTGTGTGTGTGTGCACCTGAAAGGGTGAAACGCAGATCAGAAGATCAGAAAATGGGACTTTGCTGCACGTCACAATAATTTCTTTATCTGACGTCTCCGTGCGACGCTGAACTGATCTTCCATCTCTGTGAGGTCGGCGTGGATCATGCGGTTAATGCTTAAGGAGAATTGTTGGCTCATGTAATGTGCTGTGCTGTATAATGAGTTATCCTGAAATTACACACATGGAGATTTAATAGAGAGGTTGCAAACATTAGCTTTTGTTACAAGTTCCTAGAGTAACAGGTATAAAAACTACTACCAGTAGTATAACATAACTACTGTAAAATATACGTATGATTAAGTATAATTCATGCAGAATTGTTCATTCACATATACCTCATCCATGGGTAAAAGTTGATTGACTTTCACATCAAGTGGTGTCATGCCCTGAATACACATATTTTCAGTCTCATCCCCTCCGTTTTCACACTGTAAGTCAATGAGAGAGAGAATGTTAAGGGCAATTCACTAAAAAAGAGGCTGTGGATGTTTTCCTTTATATCAGGACAGGAATATAAGATCCAGTAAAACTGTCTGTGTTTAACTCCACAAAACACACAATACAGACAACAACATTAAAAACTACTACAAAATGTTTGATATCAGCGTTTCTGATTAAGCTGCCTGAGGCTTTCTGAATATTTTTGGATTTGAAATTGATATCCGCTTCATGCCAGTAAATCAGCTCCCGTGCGATTGCACAAATCTGATAAAATCACGCAAAAATGCAAACCATCAATCTCATTTTACATAAGAGACGTTAACTGAAACAGAAATACCGGTACTTGAGATAATAGAGATAAGATCAGATCACGAAATACGATCAGCAACATGCAGAAATAGCCTAAAATAAGTCCATGATGTTTAACGATTAAACCAGACAATAAATCAAAATGAGGGTTTAAACAAAAATTACAAAGTAAATAATACAGCGATTTGGATGGCAAGAGTTTCCCAAAAGTTTCTTGTTACATTGTACATGTATTCTTTTTTAAACTAACAAGGTGACAACAGATGACGGCACCATTTCTGACAATAATAATATTTTTAAAAAATCATAAAATAAAGTAAATACCTCAAAAACGAAGGCAGCACAAACAAAATGTATTTTGTTACCAATTTTATTATTATTATGCGTGTTGCAAATAATAGTGCAAACAGGATCTTACCTGCTGTTCCGTCTTCCTCCAGTTGTCTGTTTTAAAAACATTAAACATATTTTTAAAAAAAATTCTGCTAAAAACATTTTTATGTCTTTAAAGTGTCTTTTATAGACCCCTTTTGCGTTGACGTCACAGTTACGTCACGGCGCTAGCTGGAGGCAGAACAAAGTGTAAACTGGAGGCGGCCAATACAAACCAGCACAGATTCGGCTACATAGTAATAAGGAGCTTAAATTATTGTTACTTTTATTAAATGTCATCTTGTTGTGTTGTTTGGTGCAAGAATTGATGAAAAATGAATATGCTGTATCTGGAACTTTTATTTCTAGAAAATATTCACATAATTAAAGTCTTTACATTGTCGCGGTCTCAGCGCTGGCTCGGCAGAACTGCGGATCGTACACACAAGTCTTGTACATGAGCATTAGGCATCTAAAGATTTATATGCCCACAGTTTCTCTTTACGATGGGTTTCTCTATAAGGTAGGTGTAGAAGTCAGGCCACTCAACCTTGGTAACAAACGTTAATCCTGTCAGATCGTCCATGCATTCATAGATATGTATATAAAGGCTATGTGTCGTCCGCGCTGCTGGCCAATGGAGGTCGACGTCAGCACCTGGCGGCCATCTTGTCACAGGCAGCTCGCTCACTGGTAACAATTTTCTCAATTTTCGACCGATTTTCAAACAGTCTGGTTTGTTATAAACGGCAGAGATGTAGTTATGATACTGCATATTTATGAATAATAAGTGTATAAATAAATAATCATCCAGAATTATAGCCACGTTAATAACGTTTGTAAGAAACCAAACCGTTTGTAAATCCGTCAAGATTTCAACGAGATAAGAGTATTTCTTACATCAGATAACACAGAGCCCGCCAGAAAGCCTGTCTGTGACAAGATGGCCGCCGGTGATGACGATGGAAACTCCGCCGTAACATATCTAGCCTTTATATACATATCTATGCATGCACTGAGTGAGCGTGTAGGGGTCTATAAGGGTCGGCCAATCTGGTTCAGTCCGTTAAAAATAACTTTTGGAAATAACGCGGTCCTGGACACTGACCTTACACATTAAGATAAAATCGGATTTTCTCCAGTCATTCTTAAAAAATAAGCTAACAATACTTGCTAACTAGCGTTAGTGAAGCGGCCAGAGGGCTCGTTCTGCCTCCATCTAAGCTCCGCCCACATAAAAACGTCACCATGTTTACCAACTTAAAAGGGGTCTATAGTTAATCTCAATGTTTCACTTGTAATCAGTGTTGTAGTACTCGAGACTCGGACTCGTCTCGGACTCGGTCTCGAGACCATATTTTAATGGTCTTGGTCTTGTCATGGACTCGTGTGCATTTGGACTCGGAATTGACTCGTACTCGAACATTTTTTTTTTTTAGGACTCGGACTTATTCCCGAGTCCACTCGAGTTCAATTCAAAATATTTTTCATGATTATTAATGTATGTTAATAAAATATTTCTTTAAATTGATTGACACGCCCAGTGATTGGTGAATTTCTAGTGCGCAACTGCGCATGACAAATTGTAATAAAATTACTTTCAACAACACCACCTACTATGTGGCCTTTTTACCCCAAACTGATCATATTTTTTAAACTCAAAGTAAATTCAGTAAAAAAAAAAAAAAAAAGGATTTCTCTAAGTAAATAAAAGTAAATTAGGTAATCAACCCTCACTGGTCTCGACTCGGACTCGACCGTCTCTGGTCTCGGTCTCGACTCTCTATGGACTCGTTCTTGACTCGGACTCGACTCTCTCTGGTCTCGGTCTCGACTCGGACTCGACCGTCTCTGGTCTTGGTCTCGACTCTCTATGGACTCGGTCTTGACTCGGACTCGACCCTCTATGGACTCGGTCTCGACTCGGACTCGACTCTCTCTGGTCTCGGTCTCGACTGTCTCTGGTCTCGGACTCGACTCTCTATGGACTCGGTCTTGACTCGGACTCGACTCTCTCTGGTCTCGGTCTCGACTCGGACTCGACCGTCTCTGGTCTTGGTCTCGACTCTCTATGGACTCGGTCTTGACTCGGACTCGACCCTCTATGGACTCGGTCTCGACTCGGACTCGACCGTCTCTGGTCTCGGTCTCGACTCTCTATGGACTCGGTCTTGACTCGGACTCGACCCTCTATGGACTCGGTCTTTACTCGGACTCGACTCTCTATGGACTCGGTCTTGACTCGGACTAGACCCTCTATGGACTCGGTCTTTACTCGGACTCGACTCTCTATGGACTCGGTCTTGACTCGGACTCGACTCTCTATGGACTCGGTCTTGACTCGACTCGACTCTCTATGGACTCGGTCTTGACTCGGACTAGACCCTCTATGGACTCGGTCTTGACTCGGACTCGACCCTGTATAGACTCGGTCTTGACTCGGACTCGACTCTCTCTGGTCTCGGTCTCGACTGTCTCTGGTCTCGGACTCGACTCTCTATGGACTTCGTTTTGAGTCGGACTCGACCCTCTATGGACTCGGTCTTGACTCGGACTCGACTCTCTATGGACTCGGTCTCGACTTGGACTCGACTCTCTATGGACTCGGTCTCGACTCGGACTCGACTCTCTCTGGTCTCGGTCTCGACTCTCTATGGACTCGGTCTCGACTCGGACTCGACTCTCTATGGACTCGGTCTTGACTCGGACTCGACTCTCTCTGGTCTCGGTCTCGACTCGGTCTCGAGTGAGGTGGTCTCGACTACAACACTGCTTGTAATGTCAACTTTTTGTAATACTTACCACATTTTATTAGACGAGAGTCCTTGTTTCGACAGCAGGTCACAATAAACACGACCAGAAGCAGAACAGCAACACAAAATACTACTATAATAAATGGAGACCAATCTTGTGCTGCAATAATAAAGAGATCAACCAATCAGCAATCGGAGTATCATTTCTAACTGGTGTTTGCACCTTTCTGATTGGGTTGTAACCTCAGGTACATGCTCTAAAGATGGTTGTTACATTAAAAGACTTCAGATACTCACAATTGACAGATATATAGAATCTCCTGAATGTTGAGCTCCGGTTGCTGGTGATATCAAGATGATAAAGTCCAGTGTGTTCAGTTCTTGTGTCCCTGATAGTCAGCGATCCGGTTTTGGCGTCCAGCTTCAGTTTGCCTCTGAATCTCCCATCAGCGCCATCAAATACAGTCAAGTTCCTATAGCTCATGTTTGCTATCACAGAGTCTCCATATTCACTCCTCCATGTTATAACATCGTCTCTTTGTATTTCAGAAACACCAGATTGTAGGGTGACAGAATTTCCCTCCATCACCGACAGCCTAATCTCTTCATCTGTCTCGACACAGTTAAACATAGGAGAACAAAAGTAGCCGATGATCAATGATCGGCTAATTTCAAAAACTCACAGACTTGAGTTTTGCACCTTTAAATCAATAATTGTAGGGTTGTACGGCTGTTCGCATATTATGAGCCACATTTAAAACAGAAAAAAAGTGTGAAAAATTGTATAAAATGGTCCATTTCTGAGAACTTGGCACGCGCGTTTACATCTAGATTTTGAAATTTGTTAACGACCCTGGGATGAAGGATTGATTCAAGCATTTCGATATTAAAGTGACTCACCAATGATGAAATCAACTCTGAAAGTCTTGTGTGTGGTGTAACCGCTGCCGCTCTTGGTGATGTCTACTACGTAAGGTCCGGAGGTGTTGGCTCTAATATTAGTAATAAAGAGCGACCCACTCTGTTGATTCAGATGCAGTCTGTCTTCAAATCTTCCATCAAGAACATCAGCAAAGATTTCAGCTGTTTGATTTTTTAGTTGACCAATGACTGTGCCTTTAAACCTCCAGGTTATCTGATCATCTCTCTGTATTTCAGTAAAACCCGGCGATAGAACGACAGAGTCTCTCTCCAGTACCGCCACGATCGTCACTCCATCGGACACCGGATTATTCACACCTAATGAACAGGAAGTGAGCAAACACTTTCACCTTAAGTCTCAAACATATCTCTAAATACCTCTAAATACTTTACATACTCACCACTGACATTGAATGTCTTTGATGAAACCCCCATGGCGCCGTTGATCACAAGTTTATAAAGTCCAAAGTCTGTGAATCTAACTTTCCTGATCTCGAGATCTCCAGTCTGATTGTCTGGCTTCACTGTGTCATTGAATCGATCATTGACATATAAATTGCTCTCATTAGATTTACAACTAATTCTAGCAATGACATCTTCTCCAAAGCTCCACTCAATTAAAACACATCTCTGTAGTTCAGTAACATCTGTATGTAGAGTGAACGAATCTCCCTCAATCACTGATACGTTCTTCACAACATCTGTCTCGGCAACAGACACATCTGCAAAACACACAGAAACAGGTATTCATGTTGAACTTCAGCAGAAATAAAGTAGCCAAATAAAAGCAGGGAAAAAAATCACTTAAAGAATATGAATGACAGATTTACTTCATAGAAATCTGATGCATTAGAAATTAGATTAAAAAAAAATGCTTTGGTAACATTATAAATTACCATTCAAAAGTTTTTGAAATACATTTATAATGTCACAAAAGCTTTCTATTTCAGATAAATGTTGTTCTTTGAACTTTCTATTCATCTAAAGAATCCTGAAAGGTCATTTTTTTAACATTTAAAAAAAAAAATCTACTGATTACTCGTCTTATTTTGGTAGAAAATAAAGGCACCTCCTTTGGTGAGCAGAATCTAAAAGTACTGATCTAAAACAGTTTAATGATAGTGTATAGAATCAAAAACTATGATAAAATCATTAGGTGTTTCAAACCCGGAAACGCTTCCTAAAACACGTTTCCTAGCAACTTAAACCAGACGCATATTGGAGCGTTAAAAAAAATCAATCAAAAAACAAAACAAACAAACAACTCAACACTTACCGTGCACAACTAATGAGATAACAAAGGTTAGTACAAGGTTCTTCATACTGGTGAAGTTGAGTCCGGCGATACTCCAGCATGGATTGATCCAGCAACTCAATCCCCACAGGTGCGTGTCGAGGATATGGTTCTGAAAGTCACGTGACGGACATTAAAGAATCTGCGTGTTTAAACTTGCCTAAAAAACTAGTACAGTCGAGTCTAGTTGACCTTTAAGGCTTTCTAAGCAGCATGTTGTTTATTTTACCACTATTAATTTACTAAACCTACTTTTTTGGTTGTTTTTCTGTGGTTTGGTGTTAAGTGGGGGATAAAGAATAACCTTTACTTACATTCTGCAAGAAAAGGTTCCTCCGTTTAGGAAAGCAATATACATAATATTTCCTGTTAAATGTTTCGAATGCTGTAGAGTCAAGCTTCAGAGGTGGATTTTGAGAATAAAAAAATATCTGCAAGGTTAGACTACAGCATATTTTTCCCAGGTCATAATTCTCCACGGAGTTCTCAAAAAAAGGTGCGGGGCTTCAGGGCTTGAGCTGAGACCGTTCATTTTACACATTCATACAATACGTACATGGTACACAACAACAAAGGCTTTTTTCTCCAAATTTAAGCCAAATCATGAGATTCAATGAGAGGCAGTGAAGACATAAAACATAATGAATGCATAATGGGAAAAAATAATAATAATTTTCCCCCTCACCTCTGAACTGAAGCCTCCTTGGCATTTTCTGCGTCATTCACTCTCAACAATAAAACTAACTTCTGACTCTGTCTATTGACACTTAGTCTTTTTCAAGACAACTTAAAGTTTGTCTACAAACTTTATCTAATTGTAAAGTGTTACCGAATTATATGGTAATCATCATGTAGCCTACATGTTACAACTGCCTTATTCAAGATAGTGGCTGGCCATCACAATTAACAATCAACATCTTTATTCAAATCTAGGACTTTGATAAAATATATGTGAAATAAAAAAAATACTGAAAATAGATATTGTAATATTCCAACAAAACTTGTTAATCTTTCAACAAGTGAAATAGACAGAGTTATTCATCATTGTGCAACACCATCATTTTTTTTTTCCATTTTGATGTCATTGCGACCTCTATGAAAATGCTGAATACGGCGTGGGTGCGAGCATGGGCGTGTTGTGACGCGCAAGAGCGACTGATTACATGGAAACGTGAACATCACGTAAGTAGATAGACTATCCTGACTCTTAGAATTTGAAATCTGGATGCATTGCATTCACATTAGCCCGCGAAAACCTCAACTTGTGAACACACTTGCCCTATGAAAAAGTGCGGGGGATAAATTTACGTTTTATAAAACGTGTTGGGGGTTAATCTCACCCATGAAGGGAGTAGGCTAAAATAATGCAGGCTACGCTCCTGAAATTAAACAGTTCCCACTTTGTTGAGATAAGTGTGTCTTGTTATTTCTAATTGGGTTTTCTCATTTGAGTTTGCCTTAAATATGCTCATATTCAGAAAACAAAACGTCCCACCTGTAGGATGTAGTCTGTGACTTTGAAACTATGATAGAATGAATGGCTGAGTGTATAAAAGGTAATTTCCCCTTCATAATGGTGTCGTTAAAACATCTACAGTATAAGCAAGGGTGAACAGACCATATAAACCAATCAAACCTTGACCCATGATAATGTGTCAAACTTCGCTCCTCGAAGGCCACTGTCCTGTAATGTGTATCTCCAACCAGCGCATTATGCATTTCTATGGAAACAGGATTGAGATCTGGTGACTGTTGGGGCCATTTTAGTACAGTGAACTCATTGTCATGTTCAAGAAACCAATTTGAAATGATTCCAGCTTTGTGACATGGTGCATTATCCTGCTGGAAGTAGCCATCAGAGGATGGGGACATGGTGGCCATTAAGGGATGGACATGGTCAGAAACAATGCTCAGGTAGGCCGTGGCATTTAAACGATGCCCAATTGGCACTAAAGGGCCTAAAGTGTGCCAAGAAAACATCCATTACACCACCACCACCAGCCTGCACAGTGGTAACAAGGCATGATGGATCCATGTTATCATTCTGGTTACGCCAAATTCTGACTCTACCATCTGAATGTCTCAACAGAAATCGAGACTCGAGTCTTCAACTGTCCAATTTTGTTGAGCTCTAACCAGGACTTCAATTTTCCAAGATAAGTGCCACCATTCAATGATAATATTAATAATTACTAAAATTACAGTTGATTAGACTCAGTCACTTATTGTGACTAACAGTCTGATCACAATCTCAATAATTTCATGACAAGCTGTCAGATTATGGAAAAATAATTTGTATTGACATTTATCACATAAAGCAAAGTATTCACAGTAATTATATAAAAAAATAAAATAAAACGAAACTCAAACATGCCTTGCATATAAAGCTTTTGACCAGATGCAACAAGTCTTATTATATCACAGTGAAAGCATACATTTCCCATTCCTAACTCGAAGTCAATTGTTAGGATAATATGGTGCACTTGTTCAATATTTTTTTGGGCTGAATTTCATCTTTTACCAGTAAATCAGCTCCTGTGTGACAATCTGATAACCCCACACAAAAATGCAAACCATCCCTCTCACACCACAGACGTTAACTGAAACACAAATACAAGAGATACGATCAGAGCATGAGATCCGACCAGCAACATGCAGAAAGTAATCTTTCACTGTTTGAACTGAAAAAGTTTGATCAGATATAATTCCATGATGTTTAACAAATAATCCAGGCAATAGAACAAAATTAAGAGGCTGCTTAAAAATCACAAAACTAACATTTGCAAAGTAAACAAAGCCATGATCTAGATGACAAGACTGCTGTTTTTTTTTTGCCAAAAATGTATTGCTACTTAATTATACATTAAGGTCTTTTTTTTAAACGACAAGCTGACAACTGATGACGGAATCAGTATGGACAATAAAAAAGCCACAAAACAAAAATATGCATGATTGTTCCTGATGCCCGTTAAAAAACAAAACAAAACTTAAACCCAAAATACTTCATTTGTTATATCAACTTTTTTTGTTTTTGCATTTTTTGTTTTACGAGAGACTAGCCGTTTCTCAATATGCGTTCTTGTCTATAATTGTGTTCTTGTGAAACGTCATCAGTCGCTGCCCAAGTACCGTTCAAATTCAAAGTTCACATCTTGCCAAGTCAGAGAATGTCTAATTGAAGAGAATTGGCACTGGCTGGTTACTTCCGGGTACTGGACTGGCTGCAGGAACAGCGCGGTCGAGTGCAGAATGAATGGGAGTCAATGGGGTTTCACCCCCATAAATCCACTTTTCTCAGGATGTAATTTTTTGTCAAGTAATTTGAAAGTTGCACTCAAAGGGGAGGGCTAAGATAATACACTCAGCTGAAAATTTCATTTTTAAGTTCACTTATCTGTTCTAAAAATCCGTTCAAAACTGTGATGACGTCACACAATAGCAGAATGCTAGCGTGTTCTAGCCAACAACGGCCTAACCTGTAAGAAATCAAAAGGACATAAGTACTCGTTCATTCAACTTTTGGCCTATAATCTATATTGAACTTGCGCAATCAACAATAAAATCTATGTTAATTTAACGACGAGCAGGTGAAAGAGATACTTTTAGCCGTTTAGCCCCATAGACTCCCATTCATTCTGCTCTCGCCCGCGATCACCTCCAGTGGAATTATAATGGAACTGCAACCAGGATGATACACAACGGGGCTAATAGGAAGTGCCAAGGCTCTTCATTAGACGGGCTCTGGCCAAGTCCACTTCAAATATGTGTTCTAGATCCGCCCCGTTTACCGAGGATGCATCGAGACGAGAGGTGGCTTGTGCCAGGTAACCCAGAATGCATCTCGCACCAACCAGCAAGCGTTTTTTCCAGAGGAGAAAACCCGCGTAATATCAAAATGCTACTGTTATTGTGTCATGAAATGTAATTTTAAGAGTGTTTCAGGGGAGAATGTGGTTGTTTAAATCTCAAATCTGTGGTTTACTTATAAAGATAGCCGCGCCTATTTGAAAAATGCATCTGACGTTTTCGGAGTTCTGACATCCAAGCCTTCACCGACGCCCAGCGCTCATCAACCCCGACTGGAACAGCTTTTCCTCGGCTAGTGCTTCTGACGTTTGCCACTGGCTCTGATGTCTCTCTCGTGGATAAACTTGACGTATAATTCGTCTTGTGGATAAATCTATCTTTGGTCTCATTAAACTATAGTTTGTTCCATGGCAAAAAATCGTTTTAACTTATAGCCTATTAGAGAGCTACTTATGTTTGAATTGTTAGCCATATTTCTCATTGTAGCTTCTATACCTTTTAGTCTAGACATTATTGATCAACTGACATTTAACAAAAAAAGGCTGGGTTGTGTCATTTTATTTTATATAGCCTACTTTAATATATATATATATATATATTAAAGTAGGCTATATAAAATGTCAATAAAAAAGCAATAATGATTAATATTTTTAAAATGAAAACAAAAAGATTGTTCATTTTGTTTTAAATATATATATCAATAGTCTCTGGTGAAGATAATCAATGTACGCATTGCCTGCACCATATGGCCATTAGGCTAATATGTTTAAGATTTTTTTAAACGAAAAGAGGCACAGTGGTGTTTTATAACATATTTCGTTTTATCGTTGCCTAAAATATATAATAAAGAGATAACCGGAGTAGCCAGAGCGTGCTGATGACGCGATCAAGTACGCTCTCTTCCATTTGCAGAAGAACCGGACTTGAGTCCTCTCGTCCTCAGGAGTTCGTTCTCCTCAGTCAAACTTGCAAGTCCGAACTACAAAGGAAGCAAGTCCGAAGTTTGCGTACTTGGTACTGAGAAACGGCTTCTGTTTCGACAGCAAATCACAACAGCAGCTCCAACCACGACCAGATGCAGAACAGCAACACCAGTTACTGATATAATCAATGGCTGCCAATCTTGTGCTGTAATGATAAAGAGAACAGCAATCTGAGTATCCTTTCTGTCCTTTGGTTGTCAGTATCACTATAATATTAATAGTTTACATAATTAATTTTAGTTCATTTCAGAGCAATTTCAGAACTTATTTTGACAGTGCTGATCTTATTTATTATTAGCTTACATTAAAAGACTTCAGATACTCACAATGGACAGAAAGATTGATTCTCTTGAATATGGTGCGTCGGTTGCTGGTGATATCAAGATGATAAAGTCCAGCGTGTTCAGTTCTTGTGTCCCTGATAGTCAGCGATCCGTTGTTGTCCAGCTCCAGTTTGCCTCTGAATCTCCCATCAGCGCCATCAAATGTAGCGCCGATCCTATTATGTATTTTTGCTATCACAGAGTCTCCATATTCACTCCTCCATGTTATAACATCATCTTTGTGTACTTTAGGAATACCGGATTGTAGGGTGATAGAATTTCCCTCCATCACCGGCACCCTATTCTCTCCATCTGTCTCGACACACAGTAAAACACAAGATTAAGGATACAGTAAAATGACTTTAATAACTTTTTTGAGGCCGGCAAGTTTCAATCCCTCAAAAAGCCTATGGAGGAGAGATCCAGCTCTCAGATCTAATAAAAAAAATCGTAATTTGAGTTCGGAAGATGAACAAAGGTATTACAGGGATGGAACAACATGAGGGTGCACTGTAAAAAATAAAACCGTAATTTTTACAGTAAAAAAAAAACTGCAGCTGTGGTTGCCAGAACTTTACCATTAAAAGGATGGTAGGAACATTAATGGTTTTACAGACTAAACTTAAAATTTACAGTAATAAACCGTATTTCATTTTCTGATAAAGTATTGATTTATCCACCTTTTGAAGAATTGATATCTGTTTTGTACCATTGTAATTCACTGACAACCATCATTCATCACAACAGTGATGCGTTACATGAGCAATCAAAGCTCATCACAAGTAGACTTCCATTAGAAAGTTAATACTTATTTATTGAAGCTGCACTGTGTCATTCACACAAACATTAAACACCAACATTGCATCAAAAAATGCAATAAACATTAATTTAACAACATTAAATGTAATATAATACCCTAATGTACCTCCTGATTAGAAAAAAACAATGAAACCATATTTTTTTTTTCAACAAAAATACATAAAATGTGAGTGGGAGTGTCGATTTACAATTTTTCACTGTAAATTATACGATGAGTTGTTCTTTTTCACTTTCAAAAACTGTAAATTTAACGGTATTTTACTGTAAAATTATATCACAGTTATTTACCGTGTTTAGTACTTAAACTTTTTGTTAAACAATTAACAGTTTTGCACTGTAGCATTTTTTAAAATTTTTACCGTTAAAATCACGATTATTTTTTTACGAGGGTGAGACAGAATTTTCATTTTTGGGTGAACTATGACTTTAAAGCATTTCGATATTAAAGTGACTCACCAATGATGAAAGCAACTCTGAAAGTCTTGTGTGTGGTGTAACCGCTGCCGCTCTTGGTGATGTCTACTACGTAAGATCCGGAGGTGTTGGCTCTAATATTAGTAATGACGAGCGATCCATTCTGTTGATTCAGATGCAGTCTGTCTTCAAATCTTCTTTCAAGAACATCAGGAAAGATTTCAGCTGTTTGATTTTTTAGTTGACCAATGACTGTGCCTTTAAACCTCCAGGTTATCTGATCATCTCTCTGTATTTCAGCAAGACCCGGCGATAGAACGACAGAGTCTCTCTCCAGTACAAGCTTCACTTCATCGGACACCGGATTATTCACACCTAATGAACAGAAATATTTCTGTCAGTGAGCAAACACTTTCACCTTGAGTCTCAAACCTCACCTATATCTGATGTACTCACCACTCACATTGAATGTCTTGTATGCTATCCCATTGGCATTGTTGATCATAAGTTGGTAAAGTCCAAAGTCTGTGATTCTAACTTTCCTGATCTTGAGATCTCCAGTCTGATAGTCCAGCTGCAGTTTCTCTCTGTTACAGTCAACTTTGTTCTTATATTCACTACTGATTATGACATCTTCTCCAAAGCTCCACTCAATTACTCCATAACTCTGTAGTTCAGTATTTGTATGTAGAGTGATGGAATCTCCGACAATCACTGATACATTCACATCAACTGTCTCAGCAACAGACACATCTGTAAAACACACAGAAACAGTCATTTACATTGAATTTCACATTAAATATGAAAGCAGAAATAAAACCTAAACAATATAAATGACAAGTTTTCTCCAATTAATGTGTAGAAGACGATTCAGAGAAATAAGATACACTAAAAATTAGATGAATTGGCGTTTGTAACAGTATAATCTACCAAGACATTTCTAGTACTAAAAATGTATAATCTCTAAAAGATCATGCGACACTGAAAACTGGAGTAATGATGCTTCAATCACAGGAACAAATTAGATTTAAAATAATTTTCAAATTTAAAAATTTAAATTGTGAAAAAAATATTTTGCAAAATGACTGTTTTGCTGTATTTTGGTACAAATAAATACAGCCTCGGTGAGTAGAAGATAATTATATATATAAAAAAAACCTATGAATAGTACTCTAGTGTAAAATAAGAAAGGAAAAAAACACACAAGGGGTTCGAAAACACGTTTCCACCATTAAATAATACCAAAGCATTGCACTTACCGTTCACAACTAAAGAGAAAAGAAAGATTAATACGAGGCTCTCCATACTGATAAGTTGAGTCGGTTGAGACACTGAGACTCCAGCATGGATCCAGCAGCACAACTTTATAAACCAAGGGCGTCGAGGATCTTATTGTTGTCAGAAGTCACGAAACTGGAGTGAGGGGATTTGCTGGCACTTGCTCGTTTCATTAGGCGTGTCAAAACTCGACTCCAAAAACTGATACAGTCGAGTATAGTTATAGTTGACCTTTAATGCTTTTTTTTGTTGAGTTTATTTATTTAAAGGACAACTCCGGCGCTAAATGAACCTTAAGTCTAATTACACATTGTTACCTAGTCAACCGTTATCTGAGATTTGTTTTCATGATTGCCGAATGTAAATAGTTTTATCTCTAAAAACAGTTTAGCCTATAATGCTAGTATATAGGGCATAGAGTAATGACAAATAAAAATCGCTTGTTATTACCACTAAAAAGGCTTAAAATAGCCCCACAGTAACACGACAGCATAACAAGGGTCCCTACATTCAAACCGAAGCATTGAGAACTTTGTCAGTGTCCATACAGTTTAATAAGCAGATATTTTATACACACGGTCAACTTCGCGAATACAGGAAGAAGCCATCTTGGAAAAATAGTCTCGACCAGTCGATCTACGAACGCCGATCCAAGTGCGCTGGTGAGATGTGAATAAGGTGATAAGGTGAGCGCGAACAGTAGGCTACGTGTACATATTGAAGAGAAGTAAACGGTTTGTGTTTGTGTTTCTTCTGGAAACAACGGACCATATGAGATTCTGCTCAGTTCAGCGCACTTGGATCGGCGCTCGTAGATCGACTGATAGAGACTATTTTTCAAAGATGGCTTCTTCCTGTATTCGCGAAGTTGACTGTGTCTATAAAATATCTTCTTATTAAACTGTATGGACACTGACAAAGTTCTCAATGCTTCGGTTTGAATGTAGGGACCCTTGTTATGCTGTCGTGTTGGTGTGGGGCTATTTTGAGCCTTGTTAGTGGTCATAACAAGCGATTTTTATTTGTCATTACTCTATGCCCTATATACTAGCATTATACTAGCGTTATAGGCTAAACTGTTTTTAGAAATAAAACTATTTACATTCGGCAATCATGAAAACAAATCTCAGATAACGGTTGACTAGGTAGCAATGTGTAATTAGACCAAAGGTTCATTTTGCGCCGGAGTTGTCCTTTAAGCATTACTAACATAATCTAACCGAACAAGAGAACATCACAGAAAAAAGACAGAAAGAAAGAAATTATTATGGCTCACCACTACAATAAATCAATCTGGAAAAAGGTGAAAGAAAGAAGAAAGTTAAATGATTTTACAAAAAAAAAGATTCCTTCCAAATTTTCACTTAAATTTCACATAATTAAACCTCATTAAACAAACACGTGAGAATAGAGGATACATGTAAAAACCCATATATCAACTGGACCCCTCCTCCTGCAAAAAAAAAAAAAAAAAACTGTAAAAAATAAAAACTAAAAAAAATACTGTTGGTTTAACTTAAAAAATTAAGTAACATGGTTACCTTAAAATTTTAAGTTGATTGAACTGGAAAAAGTGAGTTAATACAATGAATGAGATTGATTTAATCAAAAACTCAAAATAATAAGTTATCGAAACTAAATAAATTATTTAAGTTGATTTGACAAAAGAAAAAATGTGATAACAAGTCTTGAAAACATTTGTTGTGTTACTGTGTTCTTCTGTGTGTGAAATATGACATTTTTGCATTTTGAATACAACCTTGTCTTTAATGCTTTTTAAACCGCATGTTGTTTAATTTATCAAGGTTATTTCAACTTTTGGCTTGTTTTGTGGTTTGTTGTTCAGTGATGGGGCAATAATGCATAAACTTGCATTCTTATGCATGACATCTGATATACAAGTTCCTAATTTTAGGAACATTTTCACCAATAATTCATATAAATAATTGCGCATCTCTTCGTATTTATGGACATTTGAACTTCTCACAAAACTAAACTTTCCGCCGGATTAGTTTTAACATTGTGTAACCTTTGTATATCGACATTAAATATTAGTTCAGAATCACTTCCTTGCATCAATGCCGCATAATTATCCCAGACAGTGCTTTGACGTTATTTCCAGAACGCATGATGCCTAAGGGAACGTCTGTCAATTCCACCAACTCCGTCAAACCTAGCCTTTGTATAATTTTGAAAATAACTTTTCAACTTCCAAAGCTTAGAAGGTTCCTGATAGGACTAATTTAACTTGAATTTAAAATGATTCATAAAACTTATAAATATCAGAGCCTTGATTTACTTTCTTCACTGACACAGGCGGAAATGAAAAGATACCAGTCAAAGTCTTTTAGGAGGGGAAAAATAGGACAGGATAAGTAGACAGAGAAAAAACGAAAGATGGAGATGAGGAGAGAGCAAGTGTTGCTATAATAATCTAACGAATAATCTAACGCCCACTAACATGGTTTTAAAGATAATTATTATCCCTTTTTTGGCCTTCACAAGTCTTAAATTGCGTATGTCTAGATCAGAGAAATCCCAAATTTTGAAATAAGTAGGCTAAGTGATACTTGGTGCCACATTGACACTCTTTGCCAAAAAACAAAACAAAAAAACTACTGCTTTACCCCAATATTCAATATGATATCGGTGAGTAATTTCTCCCTGGAGCAACTAGGCCTACACGAAATTTAAGGGGTTCCCCCACCAGCCAAATCTCACGTTAACCACTTTGCGTGTATGCACATGCATTTCTTCTTAGCCTTCTTCTAATGTTGGTGACATACGAGAAGCCTACTCTAAACGCGATACCAAGTAATTTACATAACATGCCTAAACCACGCCCATATATAAAGGCCTTTAGTCGCACCCTTTTCTTCATTCACTTTCAGCAACATGACGCATGAGAGAAGGGTTCTCTAAACAAGTTGAAACACAATGACACGTTTCCATAAATAGCCTCTTCGTTTCTTTAAAATGATTTCTTTCATTTTTTTTAAGTAATAGAGCACTGTTGAAAACTTTGATTGGGAGATGTATTAAATGAAAACATACAGAGAGAGAGAGAGAGAGAGAGAGAGAGAGAGAGAAGAAAAAACATAAGGTAAAACAAACAAGCAGTTGTAAGGCAACTTGGTTATTCTTTCTGTAAAGTAGATAAAGTAAACTAGATTTAAAAAAATAAAATCATTCTCATATTTTACCCTTTTTATAAATTGGCTGCTTTTGTATTAAAGTGTGTGTATAGTTTATCACAAGAGCGTCATCTAGTGTCCTAACCAGGAACTCTGATGGAAATAAGCTCCACTGACCATATAAATACACTAAATAGAAAGTAAGTCCATACAGTTGATTATACACTACATTCATTTAACTAAGGATTGAGTTGAACAACTTTAAAGGTCAAAGATTGATTCTTAAATGTGTTAAAGGTGAACATTTAGTCCATCAGAGAAAGTTAAAATCACATTCCAAACTCATCGAGAAAACAGAGCGCTGTGTGTTGAACTTTTTCATATTGTTGTTACAGCAGAATACAAAGCTGGACTGGAAGAAAATTATATTGAAGAATGCACTCCCCCAAAATGCGTATAACTGTAAATATTGTTATTGTGTGTATTTTTATTTTTTAAATCCACATGTAGCCTCTTTTTGTCTATTAAATGCTTTAATTGCTTTTATTTGCTATTTTAATAAAAAAAATAAAAAAATAATTATATATATATATATAGGCTAAAAAACACATAACTAGTAAGACATTTCTCCTGTTGGTTTTAAATCCCAGGTTTTTATCAAATGCCTCATTAAGAAACATTACACAAAATAAAATGAATAAAAACACTTCATATTTTACACATTTTTAACATCCCAGACCAGCGGAGGACCAAAAACAGTTTTTCAAATATATATTTAAATCATTACTGTTTTAGGGACGTGATAGAGCAGAGTTGGAAACTGTGAATTGTATTAAATGTAAAATAATAATGAATAAAAAAGCTCTATTAAAATCAGCCAGTAAAAAAAAAAAAGGTAAACAAGCCAGAAAAATTTATATAAAATAAAAAGTATTTTCACACGACAACGATGTACCATAAACAAAAAGGTTTTCCATTTGCATTTTCCACGCAGACCACAACATTTTCAAAGCAATCCCCATTCCCCAGCAAAGACAATATATCAGGCCAGTAGATAAAGATGTAATTCACTGAAGAAACACTATGTGCCTATAGACTAAACAAGTAATACGTATGCATGATTTTACCGTTTTCACAAATTTGTGTTTTTATAGTTTAGACAGAGATGATAACGGTAATATAACAGCCTCTAAGTGAAGTTGTGAAACGAAGATTAAACCCACAGACTAAAGTGATATGTAAGTTTTAGTGAGCTAATTAGACTAATTGTATTGTTTGGTTTGCAACGTACACTCTACAATATGGAAGGAAACATCATGGACACCTCATCCCTAAACGTGAGGATTTCCTCGATGTGATGATGTCATAAACTAAAACAAAAACAGTAGCAGCGCCCACCAGAACAGAGGCGACCAATCGGGCGAACACTTCAGACGCATCACAACAGAAAGCACAATCTGAGGAAACACAAAAACATCATGATACACTTGTGAATACGGAGGCGTATTGCATTCACTTGAAGAAAAAAAAAAAATCTACTCTGTTTTTCTGAATTAACAAGTTAATTAGCTCAGAATTACGAGATCATTTTTCATGGAAAAAAGTTTTTGCTCTGTTTTTCTGAATTACGAGTTAATTTTTCATGAGAAAAAAAGTTTTGCTCTGTTTTTCTGAATTAAAGAGTTAATTTTCCATGGAATTTTTTTTGCTGTTTTTCTGAATTAACGATTTAATTTTTCATGAGAAAAAAAGGTTTTGCTCTGTTTTTCTGAATTAACGAGTTCATTTTTCATGGAAATTTTGAATTAACGAGTTCATTTTTCATGAGAAAAAAGTTTTTGCTCTGTTTTTCTGAATTAACGAGTTAATTTTTCATGTTTTGTTAATTAGTCTGTTTTACTGAATTAATGAGTTAATTTTTCATGGACATTTTTTTTTTTTGCTCTGTTTTTCTGAAAATTTCCATGAAAAATTAACTCGTTAATTCAGAAAAACAGAGCAAAAACTTTTTTCCTCATGAAAAATTTATTTTTCATTGGGAATTTTTCATGGAAATTTTCAGAAAAACAGAGCAAAAAAAAAGTCCATAAAAAATTAACTTGTTAATTCAGAAAAACAGAATAATTAACAAAACATGAAAAATTAACTTGTTAATTCAGAAAAACAGAGTAGATTTTTTTTTCTTCAATTGAATTTAATACGCCTCCGTATGTGAAAGACCAACAGCATAAAGTAGAAAACAAATAAGACATCGATCATTATGTCAATAACATAACTAACATACCTGAGCATGGCTGACAGAGCTCAGTATTGTTGAGATGTGTGGTCTGGTTGCTGATGGGATTGTTCAGCACACAGCTGTAGGAGTCATCCACACACTCCAGATGTAGAGAGAGACTTCTGTTGAGATCACACACACTGATGCTGGACAACACACTGACTCCTTTGTACCAGGAGAGAGTCGCATCACTCACATTCACCATTGATGAACACACCAGTGAACATTTGGACACTGAAGATCCTGATGATGAATTTGGTGGAAATTCACTGACAATAACCGGAACGGGCAGACGAGCTTAAAAAACATGAAAGAAATGTAAAAAGAAATGTAGCTTTCCTGCAACTGTCCATATAGCAAACAACAGTGCAAACTGTAAATCTCTACTCACCGTAGACAGTAACATTGAAAATATGTGTTTTACGTTTATTGCTGCTGATGGTGATTAGATAAACCGCAGAGTCTGTGATTCTGGTGTTCATGATGGTCAGAGATCCAGTTTGATTGTCCACCTTCAGTCTGTCTCTGAATCTCACATGTTCCTCGATTGTGATGATCTTGGTCGCGCAGCTCATTTTCGCTAAAAGAGGCCCGGTGATATTAAAGTTCCACGTGATCACACCATTTTTCTGTAGTTCAGTATCAGTCTGTAGTTCAGTATTAGTCTGTAGAGTGACTGAATCTCCCTCCATCACTGACACTGACGTCACTGCATCAACACCTGGAGAACAAGAAAAAAACAAAGTCAATTGTGCAGGTTAAGAAAGTGAAAGGTATTCCAATTAAGCTTTAAGTGAAATGTGTGGTATTGAAACAATGTGAAAATCAAATAAGATCCTTTAAAGTAAAAAGATCTCAGAGACGCATCTTCATATGTTTGTAACTTACCACGCAGAAGGCAACAGCACAAACAGAACAAAATTGATCCGTCAAACATTTTCCTCAGCGGTGCAGGGATGTGAACTATTATCACTCGAGGTGCTCGAGCTTAAAACTCTGAAAGCGCTGTGGTTTGCAGTCGATGAAATCAAGCCCGATCTCCTGCGTTGCACTTCTTCTTTCTCCTCCCTCCACACACACACACACCACAGCAAACCTGATCATGTAAGAGAGTTTCCTGCTAAAAACAGGACGACTGCCGATTGTCAGGATAACAGTGTGATTTCTTTCACACTGACAGACAGCAACAAAGCGTAGTGTCGTATCAGTCGTATCCGGGCCACATTTGGTACATGTGGACCATCTGGGCCGACACTATGTTACTGTCTAGGAAGATTCAGTTCTTGTTGCTTTTTACATTAAAAGCTGCAGTTTAATAAAGTTAATTGTAGGATTATGAACTCGTTTTCCACTTTTAGGCCGTGTGTCTAAACCCAAAGCCCCAGATAGCAAACTGACATTGAATCAACGTGGAAACATGACATCGAAACAACGTTGATCTGACATTGTTTCGCTCATCGAATTAACGTTGAACCAACGTCAGACGCGGCATTCTTCAAAACTAACGGAAAATCAACTTGAAATCAACGTTGTTAGGAAAGCAAACCAAATGCGTCGATTTTCATTTAGCTTTGAAGAATGCCGCGTCTGACGTTGGTTCAACGTTAATTCGATGAGCAAAACAATGCCAGATCAACGTTGTTTCGATGTCATGAGAGACGTCGTTTCCACGTTGATTCAATGTCAGTTTGCTGTCTGTGCCGTTTTTATCCAGCTAAAAACGCTAGACGCCGTGCTTTGGGCGCTTAAGAGCGTTTTGGCAGCGCAGCTTTTTTCCGTTGAAAAAAGCGCCATCTTTGATTTTTAATGAGAATGAAAGCGAGGCTGTGAGGGATAGACTTGCATCTCTTCAATGGGCTGGATTGTTATTTAATGTGTTTTCGGATTGTTCTGCTCATGAAACACTGGAAAAATATCTTGCCAAGAAATGTCAGTTGACAAAAAAACTCCCGACAATGTAAGCAGTGGAAAATTGTAAGTAATCTAGCCGCTTTATTCAGCTTTTTACAGCTGATGCCATTGGAAACACGGTAAGTCTATCCCTCACAGCCCCACTTTCATACCTGTCATGGCGGTGCTCTGAATAAGGTCTATGATACAGAATATCCGCAGCAGTTTGAATGTTGTGACAGTTGGTGGGTGTGGTATTAGTCCCGCCCCTCCTCCACTGTGATTGGACGGCTGGGTAAAAAGTGACAGTGATGAGCGCTGCGTTTTATCCAAAGTTGAACATTTTTCAACTCTCGACGACCAGTAAAAAACGCTGAGCACCGTGAAAAAAACGCTCAGCGCCTCGTCACTCTCATGGCGTTCAAAAAACGCGGCGCTCCCATCGAAAACAATTGAAAACATAGGCTATCCCAGACAGCAAACTGACATTGAATCAACGTGGAAACGACGTCTCTCATGACATTGAAACAACGTTGATTTTGCTCATCGAATTAACGTTGAACCAACGTCAGACGCGGCATTCTTCAAAGCTAAATGAAATCGAAAATTGGTTTGCTTTCATAACATTGAAACAACGCGTTGATTTCATGTTGATTTTCCGTTAGTTTTGAAAGAATGACGCGTCTGACGTTGGTTCAACGTAAATTCGATGAGCAAAACAATGTCAGATCAACGTTGTTTCGATGTCATATTTCCACGTTGATTCAATGTCAGTTTGCTATCTGGGACGTGGAAAAACGCTTTGGTGGACACACGGCCTTGGGGTACATTTAAGCATTTAAAAGTTTTTCCTTTGCGTTTTTCAAGTACAGACGGCAATGTTGTCTAAACAATCCCTGTTCACATGGATAAGCGAAAACAGCTTTAAACACTGTATTCTTCTGTCAGGCCAGTAGATGGCCTTATACTTTTCAAAGAAACATTTTACCATTTTAATAACGATAAAGATAGACTATAATGGTATCGATTTCAAAAGTGTGTGTTTTCAGGCCCTTAAAATGCTGTTATTAAATGAATGTCTACAATGCACAATTTTATCATTTTTAGTTGTAAATGCTGTAGTGTAAATTGTCCTGTTTTTGTTTTGTTAGGATAAAGCCAATAAAATCATGTCACAATTTAACAAAAGGCGTTGTTTAAAGAACAAAGTCTTATTGTGTTTTTGCAGTGACTGTGATTGACTAGATGCATTCAACAATTTAATTGTGTTTGGGAGTCAAAATGAAACTTGCTGATCTGGAAAGAAATGTGGTTGGATGTGGTTACTGATAGTATTGGACAAACAGCTTGTGCAATAGTGGCATTTTTCCCCCATTCCAGCTGATATGATGCTCACAAAACATGTTTTATATAAAAATATAATACTATGAATGCTGATGTTTGACATACTAGAGCATTCTTCTAATTGTTTCAATGTGACGCATTGAAATGTCATTTACTTTGGATTAAGATTGACTTAATTTTTCGTGACCTTGATCTTGCAGTGCGATATTTCAGTAGAACTTATCAAGCTTCTCAGAAATAACCGTTGCTATCAAACCTAGATCCCACATCCTGACGATGACCAGAAGACATTCAAAAAACATGTTTTTTTGGTGTGCGTCAATGCCTGGATAAGCAGTCAACAACCCAGGCAAAGCGCAAAAACCCTGACTGAATCCAATATGGCTGCTCTAATCAACAGTAGTAAAATACTGTTCATTAGCACTTCTGTTTATCTGTGCCTTAAAAGTTAAGTGGTTCACCAAATGTGTTAGAAAAAGCACAACGTGTTAGAAAAAGCACAATAAAATGTTGCCTGGAGGAGTCCATCTTAGTTTTCGGACCTGTTGTACCGGAAAGCAGTCAACTCGGGTGTGACGTCCTATCCCAAGTAAATGGCTATCTGTGATATTTTTATCTTCCAGCGAGTCAAATGAAAGGGGAAAAGTCTAGCTTTCCTTAACAAGACATGATTTGAGGAATCAGGAGTGTAACAACGCAGGATTGTTTGTACTTGAAAATTCACTTCCTGAGTTGAATTGAATGCACAACTTTTTTGTTGCTTTCATACGTATACGAAAGTTTTTCAGAAATGTTCCATTTAATTTAATGATTAAAGTGTTTTCACATCCCATTTTAACAATCAATTTGTAGACAGAGCCGAAGCTGTAATGACAGTCATTATTAGATAGATACAACTGACAACTGATTTTTAACCAATATTTCAGACTGATAATTATTACACCTTTCTACTTCAGCGTTAATAATATTGAGTGAGCTGATAAATGGCGTCATCTGGAGGAAACAAAGATAAATGACAGTCATGAGGAAACCAACAATGGCTGCATTCAAAATCACATACTTCCCTAGTATATAGTAGGCGAAAAAAAAAACAATATGTGACAAATGTCTGTCCGCATTCACAGTACTCAAAATGTAGGCAAAAAAAAATACCAGAATGAGCTACTTCTTCTAAAGTGTGCATATGATGGACACTTTACAATCCCATGAGGCCGAGGGAGAGGATTTGTGAATGACAGTGAAGCGATACAACTGACGCTGATAGATCACATGATAATGACAACATGGCGAATGTAGTTCATCTGGATTACGTTCATACTGCACACACTCACACTACATACTTTTTTAGCGGTCGTTAAATAATTACTTATTGAAAATAAGTAGGCCTAGGGCTGGGCGATATATACACGATATTGTTATGCACAACTAATCAGTAAAGCCGGTTCCTTGATTAGTAGTAAATCACCTTCACCTGCTTTCAGATGGACGATATGATGCATATATAAGTGTTAAATTAACACTCAAGAAAACTGAAGGAACAGGTGTTCTGACAATTCATGCTACCCATTGAGATTTGCTACTACTTACCGGTTATGCGCATGTGCAGACTCCGTTTTTTTTTTTTTTTTTTTTTTTTTTTTACAAAAGGTACATTTTCCTGTTATAATGTATAATTTCCCTTTAAAAAATGCTTACTATCATATGAATATTTGTACGGTCAGCCAGCTGAAAAGGAATAACTGAAAGTTTCAGTTACTATGAGGAAAGGTGTACTTTGACAAGTCAAAGATGAATATTTTATGATAATTTTTACTTTTCACACCGTTTTAAAAATAAAAACAGTAGTCTACAGTATAGCCTACAGTAGCTACTCATAACTTAGAATTGTATTATAATTGTATTTCATACGACTTTAATCGGCATTCTGTGATCAATTCGCGCTACCGTAGCATTTTTCGACAAGGCAGCAAAAATTGGCAGAACACCGGCTTTACAGATTAGATGCGAGAGAATCAAGGAACCGGCTTTACTGATAAGATGCGCATAACAATATCGTGCGATATATCGTGCAGCCCCAGTCAATTACTATCACTATCAACATGACAGTAAATTAATTATCCCACTTTGATATATTTATTTATTATAATTTGTTTTTTTGTACCAAATTTTTGGGATGAACATTTATTTATACTGCATTGAAACTGCAAAAAACTGTGGCCTATGCAAACGAAATTTCGTTTTGTATCCACAAGTTTCCGAGGGGCGCTCCTGTAAAAAATAAAGTGGGTGAAACTTCCGGTGAGGCGGCGGAAGTAGCATTCCAATGGTATTTTGTGTGTTAGTTAGTGAAGAGGCTAGCTGTTTTTCGGAGAATTATTTTACTATTTAAAGACGCAAATCTTTATGAGAGATGTCGTTACGTAGCTCAGGGACAACATGTGCTGCTCGCAGTTGTATGTATAACCGGACTAAACTAATTAAGTGGCTTAAACGTGATTGTTTTGAACATAAGCTGAAAACGAAATCAGAGTGATTCTGCCAGAGCCCGTCTCTGATCCTGCCAACGACTGTAACGTTACTTTCCATCACCTCCCCAAAGACGACGAATCTTCCTGTGTACATTTGTTTAAATTCTTAATATAAACTCTATCAGCATGGGATTGGCTGTTCGCTACTGATGTTACAGCTAAACTCAGGATCAAAGCCTGTGTTGACAGAATACCAAATGTGCCAGTTAATGTGTTCAAGTACATTCATTTATAATTTTGAATAAACTCCAAAGCACAATGACTAAGTGTGTATTTTTTATTTTAATTGTTTGTCACCATGCCTTCGATGAGTATTGATTATTAATAATGTTATTATAATACTCCCAATCAACTACTGTGGAGGGTAAAGGTACTGTTATTTCACCCTTTTGAATTTCGTTGAGATTATGTTCACACATCGTTAGCTAGTTTGGATCGCTATAACTTGAATGACTGTCAACTGTTGAATGAACGAGTTAAGTGTCAAGCATGTCAAATCGCGCTTTGTTTACTTCAACCTGAAGTCGCGCCCACTTTTGACGCAAGGCCTCATGGGGCGTAGGAAACTTGTGGATACACTTGTTGTATTTATGAATGACAATGGGCTATATGCACGCATAAGTTCCGCATTTGACGTAAGGATGCTCGTCCATTTCCGGTTGTGTAGATTAAAGCGGAGGAAAACCGGAGAAAACGGGATTATGGCAGAGTCTTCAATATTTGCTGTCCTCCCGTCTTTGAAACGAAACGTACATACGTTTAGATGTAATTTTATATATAGTTATGTTTATTTAATATAATTTTAAAAAGAAGCATAAACACAACGAGGGGTGTCTGTTTTATCTGTTTTTGTGACTAACGTTTCATTAGTATAACTATGGAGTATAAAATTCAATATACATTCTCGGTATTGCATTGGACTCTATGATCGGCGGAAGTTATCGAGCATCCCTAATGCTTCACCGGAAATAACGCCGTGCATAGAGCCCATTAAGTCTGTCAAGTCAAGTCAAGTCATTCACTCATACTCACCCCGTAGCAGGCCTGAAACCTGGCTTGTGATCGTGGTGTCCGGGAAACTGTCAAATGGCCCCTTTGCTCTCCTGAACACAAAACAAATACAACACAAATACCTCCAATTCCACTGAAAACGATGCAGCGATCGTCCCGATCCTGAAGTAGGCCTCGTCAGAGCCCGTCTAACGGAGAGCCTTGGCACTTCCTATTAGCCCCGTTGTGTATCATCTTGGTTGCAGTTCCATTAGAATTCCACTGGAGGTGATCGCGGGCGAGAGCAGAATGAATGGGAGTCTATGGGGCTAAACGGCTAAAAGTGTCTCTTTCACCTGCTTGTCGTTAAATTAACATAGATTTTATTGTTGATTCCGCAAGTTCAATATAGATTATAGGCCAAAAGTCGAATGAACGAGTACTTATGTCCTTTTGATTTCTTACAGGTTAGGCCGTTGTTGGCTGGAACACGCTAGCATTCTGCTATTGTGTGACGTCATCACAGTTTTGAACGGATTTTTAGAACAGATGAGTGAACTTAAAAATGCAATTTTCAGCTGAGTGTATTTTCTTAGCCCTCCCTTTTGAATGCAACTTTCAAATTACTTGATAAAAAATTACATCCTGAGAAAAGTGGATTTCTGGGGGTGAAACCTCATTGACTCCCATTCATTCTGCACTCGACCGCGAGCGCCCCCGCATGGACAGAGACGTGTTACTGCAGCCAGTCCAGAACCCGGAAGTAACCAGCCAGTGCCAATTCTCTTCAATTAGACATTTTGGTTAAACCCATGTTTTCCACATGTACACATGATCAAACTTGTATCATTGCGCTTTTAAAGGAACAAATAGCTACTGATTACTCACTTAACCAAGATGAATTGTTTTCACAATTTATCTCTTAATTAACCGTAAATACAAGATAATAAATTGAGGTTGCTTATTGAGAGCATAATTATAACCTACTGGGTTACATACATGACACATTTATATGTCATCAAGGAATGAGGTCCCCATCAGGAAAAAGCCTATACGTCACACATACTATATTTTTAATACTATCTTTCCTTCTAATGAACTTGTTATGAAGTGTATGTACATTTACACTGGTGATATAGGAATATAAATAAATGAAAAGTGGGTTTCCAATCAACCGACATTATTCATACAAATCATAGTTTTTATTATGACATCCCTTTAATTAGCTACAATTGAGGCCTGTACAGGATTTATAGATGTAAAGCATTTTGGTGTGTAATATTCAGTTTTCAGTAAAATTCTACAGTGATTAGTTTGTGTGTCAGATATTTTTAAATTTGTATTTGCGGGGTTTCTGTAAAAAAAAAATGAAAAAAGCAACTTAAAAAATGCGACTGACAAAGGAATGTAAAAAGAAATGCATTAAATAATAAAATGAAAAAGGCTATTCAAGAATATTAATCGTTTTGGCCACCAGATGGCCCAATACACCAGATTCAGGTTATGAACCCAAATGACCTTACGATCAAATTCAGAAAGCATTGGTAAGCAAAGCTTTGTTTCACATCACTATAAAATTAGACCATACTTTTTATCTTTACTAACTAAAACTCCAATATATCCCACTATATTTATAACATGCTCTGTTTTCTCTTGTCATCCTCTTGAAGCTCTGACGTCATTGACCAGAAGAAAAACAGCAGCCGCAGAAGCCACGCCCATCAGCGCAGTGACGACCAATCGCAGCACAGCTTCAACAGACTCACAACAGGGGGCGTGGCCTTCTGAAAAAAACAACAACAACTGAGCAATCTTAAAACATAAGATTTTCAAGTCAATATTATTAAGATGTCCAACATGTTACACCTCAATTAGATCTGCATCTGTTGGAGGTTAAAAAAGTAAAATTGTCATCAACATTTTCACTATACGTTAATTAGAGCCGAATATCCGCAACATATTTAAATATTTCCAGAGTGTCAAACATCAGGGTTGCTTTTCTATTCTAAACACGAGTAAATTATGACAGAGGCTCGTTCATAATGTCTAATGTCAATCTCAATTCAATCATCAAATTAATTGAGTGAATGAATGTGGATAATATGATGAGTGGTGCTGTACCTGCACATGTGTGTCTGCAGAGTGTGTTGATGTCCAGATGTGTGGTCTGGTTGCTGATGGGATTGTTCAGCACACAGCTGTAGGTGTTTTTATCCTGATATTCCACCTCCAGAGGTAGAGAGAGACTGATGCTGAGATCACACACACTGATGCTGGACAATACACTCATTCCTGCGTACCAGGACAGAGTCGCATCACACACACTCAACACTGATGATGAACACACCAATGAACATGATGATGAAGAGCAGTGTGAAGAGTTACTGATGATGACAGGAACAGGCAGACGAGCTGAGAAACATGAGGGAATAAACACAAATATGGATAATGGCTAAATGTGCACCGCTGTAAAAGGCCCATTTGACTGTATTGGCACAAACGTTCAGCAGATTTCTACTGCTTCTAATCCTCGATGTGATCGCAGACAGGACGTAGTTGATTTTCTTTTCTGCTATAATGCAACATAGTGAAAGACACATTTTTCTTGGGTGTGCCTGTAACTCTGTTGTACCCTATCTGTCATCTAAAACATATATTTTTTTATTTTGTAATATAAATTAGTTATAAATTACATCTCTACTCACCATAGACAGAAACATTGAACGTTTTAAAGGTCAGTTTAGTTCCAAATATCAGTAGTTTATAAACTCCAGTGTGTTCAGTTGTGGTGTGTGTGATGGTCAGAGATCCAGTTTGATCGTCCAGCTTCAGTCTGTCTCTGAATCTCCCATCAGGAACATAATATGTGGAGAAGAATCCAGCAGATCTACTGATTTTAGCTATCAGAGAGTTTTCAGCTCCATATTTCCACTGAATATCGTCATCTTCCTGTATTTCAGTGAGATCAGTGTTTAGAGTAACAGAATCTCCCTCCATCACTGACACTGAATCACCAAACACACCTGAGAACATGAACAGGTTTTGTCACAGTTTAAGAATCTTGTTGGCTTAGAAAGCACGCATTTAGCTTAAGTTTAAAAATATCGTGTTTTGTTAATTGAATGTGCACTGAACAACATTCAGAGCAGCAGCAGACATATGAGCTATACTGTATGAACAGATGTGAGCGAGCAAATTTCATCTTTACTGTGTCTTAAATGTATATGCTGTAGAGCAAAATAAATGTGTGTTTACATAACCTGTTAATTAAACCTTGAGAGTACAAATTTAATTCTGCTGGATGGATATTGTCAATAACTTTACTTTTTATATAAATTTCGATAAAACAAGCTTCATGAAGTTGTATGTATAAAATGCTTTTATAACTTACCAATCACACTCCACCAGAACAAACAGAACGAAACAAACATGTGAAACATTTTCTCCAAATGAAATGAAAAGTTCACCCTCGAGCTGTTCATGTGGTGTGTGTGAATCCTCCCCCTGACAGTTTAACCTTCCTGTGGCACATGCGCAACACACTGTGTTTATGGCATACAGTTATATATTTAAAGTAGTCTATAGATAATATATAAATGCTTGTCTGGCCCTTATTAAGGTTGTAACTGTTTTTAGTAATGAAAAACATTCTTCAGTTTTATTATCTACCGCCAATAGTGTTTGAACTGTAATTTTAAATATGTGAAAGTAGAAAAATCGAATGTATTAATCTTCCTAAATTTCCTTGTAAAATAATATATTTTGGATGTTAAAAATTGTTGTAACTCCTATAATATTTTGTTATTTAGAAAATAAGTAATAGCTATAAATTACACTATTATTACTTTCTGAAGCCTGATTAATATTGCTGCAGCAGATTCTATTCTATGTCACATGGTACAAAACCTTTACCCGACAATATCTACAGGGTATGTTACCATTTTTGGAAAAGGATGCAGTATACATGTGTGAGTTGAGCAAATGTCTAGAGTTATCTCCTGCAGAAGATGCTCGGATTTGTTGTAAAATAAAGTCTAATATTTCTGACATTGATGATCTCTGAGAAGCTATTTTACAAAAGAGAGTAACCACAACACTCTCAACTTGTGTGTAAAAAAAATAAAATAAATAATAATAAAAAAATAACTCTCACATTACCAGTCATGACACTAGCAGACCCCCTGAGTCAAACTGAAACTGCTGCGGTCGCTTTTTTCAGAGACATGGTTTGATCTGCTGATGGAAAAACACATCTCATATATGAGAGTGGTCTTTTGTTCCATGTGTGTTTAGTTTGTAGGTGAAGGGTTTCTTCCTGTCCTTCTGTTATGAACATCACAGTCTGACTAACATTGTAAACAGAATAGCTTTATTGGGAAATAAAATTAATTAATCAACACTGATATTTAAAATCAGTTCAGAGGTCAAACAGGATTCCCATCCATCATGCATTATTGATATAATACACAGACTGACAGCGGCTCATTGAACAACAACAACAAATAACACCAGTTGTTAATATAACGTTAAATGTATAGTGATCGTAGAATTAAAAATAATGATTCATAAAAATAAAGACACATGAGGAATGTATATATATATATATATAATTCTTTTTCTACAATGTTTTTGCTCTCTCTGACATTTTTTTGATTGACTTTTTTGTTTTCACCCCATTGTTTTTCTTTGTCCTTGTTTAATGCAGAGCAGGGCTGGTTTAACATTTCTATTGGGCCTCTTTTTTTAGATGAACACTTCTTTAGCCAATAAATCATGTGGCTAAAAGGAAGCTACACGACTTTGGCTTCCTGCTCACTGATCATGAAGTCACCAAGGTTAAAAAAAGGCATAACACTGCCTGCAGGGGAGGAGAGGAGAGGCCGTTTTAAGTAATGGATTTCAATAGAGGAGAGGCTTCACTATGCTGAATAAAATGCTCTTGTGGAAAACCAGCAGATCTTTTAATAAATCAACATTCAAGGCTTCAATGTTTGCCATCAAACAGTTTCGAATTGATCTATTTTTAGAGTTTACACTGGGGAAAAACATTGTCATAGACAATTTCCGGCACTTCTCATTCATTTAATCCAAAAACATAATATAATAATTCCAAATAACATAATAATTCCCTATTATATTGTATGCAAAAAAAAGTATGTCAAAAGAGTAATATAAGCTCTGTCCCAATGTCATGAATCTGGTATCTACCACGCCATCCCTGAATTATTTATTAGAAGACTTTGTTTGATATTGCCTACGGCATCCCTGTGTTTTATTAAAGACACTGTTTACCTGCTATCGCGTTTGGGTCCTCTCTCGTTATCCGTGACCCCCAGTTCAGACGCTGCATCCTTTGAAGGCCGCAAAGGTCAAACCAAGTGTTGATAAATGAGACGCCTACGGAGGACTGTTGTTGTCGCCTAGCAACTGTAACAGCAACCGTTGATGAGTAGCAGTAATGTTTCAAAATGATATTAAACTGTCTGAAAACAAAACAAAATTGTCTAAATATGTTCATCATGGTCCATGAGAAAGAAAGATTTACACAATAAAAGACTTTTCTTTTTGATTGAACTGGGGTCATACATGCTGTACTTGCCTGTGTCCTGTTCAAGTGCAGGCGATCATTTCCAATCACTCAATACAAACACAATAATTCAATTACATTATGTAAAATGACACTAAAACAGCACAGTCCATCTTCCTCTTCGCATGAAATGCACAAATTTGGTAGTAAAAAAACAATCAACATCTCAAATGCTTTACAAAAGATAGTATGTTTCTCTTTTCTATACTTTTGTTACAACAAAGTACAAAGAAAAACATTAACTTTCGAACATATAATCAAATACATTCCATATTATCAAACATCTAAACCTATAGAAATGTTAATAATTTAAACGATAAATTACAAAAACACATATTTGGCGTTTTGTAGCTGCTTCAATCCACAGTGTCTTTCAGTACAGGTCAGTAGTTTCCTTCAGATGCTCACTGGCTCTTACCGTCACGAATCAGTGAGAGTCCCATCTTTACCACCAGAGGGCACTCCACCCCAGACTATTCATCATTCCCTCATGAAACTACATTTCCCATAACTCTCTGTCTGCACTCATCATCCCTTATTGCATCATTACTTTGTTTAAATCGCTAATGAGTCAAGGCAAATGGGAAATGTAGTTTCATGAGGGAATGCCAGTAGTCCCGGGTGGAGTGCCCTCTGCTGGTAATGATGGGAACTCTCACTGGTAATCGTGACTACAGTCTAAAAATATCCATCTTGGATTCACAGACAGTTATAAATTAATTAAAAAAAAAAAAATTTGATAGGTCAAGATCATGTTGTTTACATACACGAATAATAAATAACCGGACTGATGGCTAAGTTGGATTGTAAAACAACACCTTTCAAACACCTCAATGGATCCGAATGACATTTTGATTTGATGGTGTGTCTGAAATAACCCGGTCAAAAGGTAACCACTTACAAAAAGCATTTACTTTTTACACTTGTAAACACTTGATTCAAAAATACAATGCGATATGCAGTGCTGCGATGATTACGACGCATGTTAATTTCAAGTCTCATGAGTCAGTGGAGGAGACTCTTGACATACATTTCGTGTCAAAAAGGCAAAAAAAAAAAAAAAAAAGATGACATAAAAAGAGTTATAATCCTGCACCGTTCCTGTCTGGATAATTTTGCAGTTGTAAGAATCCCTCCAGTTACACACTGGGAATCCTAAAGCACGATTGGTTTCAATGCTGGTTATGGGTTGCTTTGTTCAAAACTGAGTAGAAGTTTTGTAAAACGGAAATTTTACCGTTATCCTGACACTATTTCTCCATGAGCGATGATAATTTTAGCTGATCCACTTCCACTTTCCCATCGCCCTCCCCCTAATTTATGTTCATGGTCCCTTTCAGTAAAAATATTAAAATAATAAATAATGTTCCTGTTAAATCCCATTAGTCTCAGTCTGACTGAGTTGTCCCACTATCATCATTCACCTGTTGAGTCTCAGTCTCATTATGGGACGTCCCATTATCATCATCCATTAGTGGAGTCTCAGTCTCATTATGGGTCCCATTCTCGTCTGATCAAGGGGCACTGCTTCTATGACACCATCCTCCTGAAAGGAAGAAGCAGATTCACAGAAGGTCAAACACATGTTCAGGATTGATGATTCAGTTAAACACAGTTGTTCTCTCTGATGCGTGTGAATGTAAAGACCCTGTTCTTCATTCTGAAGTATAACAGCACAAGATCAGCTCTCTTACATTGTAATTATTGTTTCTATGTAATGATTTCTAAGCTCAATCAGACACACACAGCTGACAGTTCTCACAGATATGAATCTGTAGTAAATTCACAGTGTTTTGCAGACAGAGATTCAGAGCTCACAGTAGGGGAGGGAAAATGAAGCCTCATGAATCAATGACGCTTTCCCCTGACTGTTCCCATTCCTAATAGCAAAGCTTTGCGAATGTCAAGAACAGCGCCATCTGGTGCTTATTTAAAATAAAGCAGCCAGAAGCCAGATGAAGCAACCACAACACACTCCATGTAGTTTTAATGTTATGTGAACAAATACCAGCCTTCCACGTTTCTGTTTGATTTGTGCATTAAATAAATTCCTTTACCCATTGAAGTATGACAATAAAATATAAAATGGGCTTATATGATTCAATAAGATCTGCTAGTAGGCATACTATCTCTATCTCTACACAAACACACACATAGTAAATAAGGAAATTTAATGTATGGATTAACTTTCAAAGTACAGCACTCTCCTCACAAACCCATTAACCAGACTGAGCCAACAAAGACTCGTTAAGGTTAAGATCTGGGGTTTGAGCCTGCTGACACCCAAAGCGAAACACACACGTGATTGGACAGAAAGTGAGGCTTCATTTGTCATCGATCACGCGTCTCTGGGAAACCAATACACACCCCGATACGGGGATTTAATGGAAATTGCGTTGCATTTGCGATACGCACATCAAAGCTTCAGTGTCATACGTAACATCACTAGCTCACGGTATCTCACCTCATCATCTCGCCGTCTCCTGTTTCCTGTTTAAACAACAACAAACTCTTACTTTGGACAATTATAATAAAAATACATGTTTCACGCAATAAATCTCTTATTTCTATTTTGTACAATCAGCTGTATGTAATACTTGCCTTTTTGTTTTGATCTGTAGAGACAGTAAATCCCAGTAGCCACCAGCAGAATAACACCAACACCAGCAGCACATATTACTGGCATAACTCTTATTTCTGCTTCAACAGCTGAAGGCGGACCTGGATCTGGAACAGCTAAAGACACACATTTTTATTTTTATTTATTTAGTTTATTTTACCTAGAGTTAAAACTAAATCAATTCAACGTTCAGTTGGGTACAGAGCAATGTGTGAATGGAATTCGCTCCCAAATACTATCAAACAACAAAATACCTTGTATGGGTTCAAAACGTCACTTAAGAAATATTACCTTCAAAGAAATGCAGATAATTAATGTTAATTTAATTAAGGAGATACTGTTGTAGAATTATTTGGAGTAGCGACATTGTATTTAAATTGTTTTTTATTATTTATTTTTCATTTTTATTATTATTTTTGTAAATTATGGCGTTAATTGTAAAATATGTATGAATGTTGTATAAATGTCCTGTGTATATAGTGTGAAATGTGATGTAATGAATTGTATTGTCACATGGAAGATTGGAGGACCCCAGGAAGAATGGCTTTTAGCTTATGCTGAAGCTAATGGGGATCCAAATAAAACAAACAAACAAAACACAAATATTATTACTGGAGATCAACTGATAATCAACCAATCTACTAATACTTTGGAATAAAATGTAAAACTTGCTGCTTTGGTAATCAGTTTTAAGATACTGATTTAATCAATAAAATTAGTTTTTGAGTCCAGCATCAAGGAAAACCGACTGATATTATGCATTTTTATGTTGTTAAGGTGATAGAGACGATCTCAAATTATATTGTAATGTTATAAAAACAGGCCACAACATTGACTGGGTCTCATGTACATATATTGAAGTGTATAGACTCACCAGTGACAGAAACACTGAAGATCTTAGTGACGCTGAATCTGCTGTTGTTGATCTGTAGTGTGTATTCTCCAGAGTGTGTGTTTGTGGTGTGTGTGATGGTCAGAGATCCAGTCTGATGATCCAGCTTCAGTCTGTCTCTGAATCTCTCGTCACACTGATCATCTGTACAGATCTGACTCTGATCTCCAGTGATTTCAACAATGAGAATATCATTAAAATACCATGTGATCAAATCATTTTGTTTTTTTATTACACCAGGATTTAAAGTGACAGATTCTCCCTCCACACACTTTCTCTTTTCATCTCGTTCAGCAGCAGAAACACCTGAAACACAAACCAACCAATCTTTGTGTGTGTCTTCAAAGCAACAGTTATCCATGGTTTTGCATTTACACAGTAATTTCACATCAAATCCTCATTTAAACAGATGATAGTTGATCCGAGACAGCATGAGATTCAGTAATCTGTTCATAATGATGTAAACTAAACATTTCACTTTTAACCCTCTGGGGTTGTTCGGCTCAAATGGACCCGAAAAATTTATGTAAATTTTTTTTAAAAATCACAGAAACCTCGGAATGGACTGAAATTTGGTGACTTTGTTGGTATTTGGTATTTGAACACCCCAAAAAAATGGGGACAGGATGTGAACAGTCTAAGTGGTTGTAAAAAAAATAGTCACACTTGGGGTGTTCGGGTCCAAATGGACCCGCATGGAAAATGAATGGGAAATTGGCAAAAATGTGAAAATACTGAGTTTTTTTAGTGCCTACAATCTACAAATCAGCCACGATCTTGAAAAAAAGCACACAACAGTGAAGGGGTGAATCTATAAAACATCAAGAGTGCAAAACAGACACATCCAGACACACACACACAAACACACTTTTATACACAAACACACCAAAAAATTCTGATTATACATGTTTTGCATTTTTAAAATGCTCAGTTTGTCCACCAGATGGCATCCATCTCATTTTAAAAATTGCTTTTATGAGGCCTAGGCTTGACTCTAAAATGAAATACAGCTTTAAAAAAATATATATTAAAATATTTTTTTTCTATTATGTTCAATGGGGGGGAAATTTTGTTATAATTATTGCATTAATACTAATTATAATTTTTTTTATTTTTGAAATTTTCTCAAAACACCAAAAAAGAAAAGAAAAAATATTATAGAAAACGAGTAAAAAAAAAAAAAATCATGATTTTTTTTTTTTAAATATGAATCCCGCCCTTTGGGTCCATTTGGACCCGAACACCACGAGTGTGACTCTGAAACGAACAACCCCAGAGGGTTAAAGTATGCTTGTATAGTGTTTGTAAATTAACATTCACGATTACGTCTACTAACTAGATGCTCTGCTGTTGTGTTAAAGCATTTCATTAACAACAGTTTTTGCGGTGCCGTCCACTGTAGCCAATCACAGACGAGACCACTCCAGCCAACCAGACTGGTTTAAACCGCACAGATGAGTTTTGTTCACTGACTCGCATAATGAACAACAAAGGCTGCGGCTAAAATCTGTTGGCAGGATACTGAAGCAAGACAACAAAGCACACCAGGATTAAATATTTGTAATGTCTGAGATGCTTTCATATAACAGTAGCACAGATTCATTCCAGAATGACAAATCTGCTGAATACTCGTTTCATGACACACCCCTGAAATTCCAAGGATTACTACAGCAAAGTTACACTTTAAAAAATTTTAAAATTCCAATTTTTGGTCAAATATGGACAAACCCAGCCGTTGGGTTACATTTAAATTACATTTTTAACCCAATGTTTGAGTTTGTCCATATTTGACCCAAAATTGGGTTAAAACAACCCAGAGTGTTTTGATTTACTGACATAACTTCGTTTTTGGGTTTTAATGACTGAATGTTCAAAAATATTCCTCTCTTTTCCAAGTCTAAAGACAATTATGGTTGATATAGAGTTTAATAGAACTTGCGACCACAGTTGGCTAACGATTCACATGCCCGTTTACTTCCCGTCTCTATGAAGCCCCTCCTTCTGAAAAGAACAACCTACTCTTATTGGTCGGCTGGACCAGTGTGTTGTGATTGGTCAAACGCGTTGAGCGAAATTGTCCCATGTCCCATCCCTTACCATAACCATGAGTTTCAACACACTACTAACTAACTCAACTAGACCCCGCCCCTTTATTCTGCATAATATCAATTATTAAAATGAGAAAATCGTCCTGCAATGACATTTTTTTGGCGGCCGCCAAAGCAAATTTGTATCCCTCCAAAGTGCCTTTACTTTTAGTATTTAAGAAGTGAATTTTAAAAATAAACTACTTGCAATACGTAAGTAGAAAAAATGTTGAATAGTTTAGTACTTATACTTAAAGAGCACTTCAACTTCTATTCAAGTCACTTTTTTGATAGAGCACTTGTACTTTTACTCAAGTCCAGGTTTCTAGTACTTTATACTGTGAATATAACATATTTAAGGACTCACCATTGACAGTAACATTGAAGTTTGTGCCACTGTTGCGGCTGTTCAACGATAGCTGATATTCTCCAGAGTCTTCAGTTCTGATGTTCATGATGGTCAGACATCCAGTCTGATGATCCAGCTTCAGTCTGTCTCTGAATCTCTCCTTACACTGATCATCTGTACAGATCTTACTCTGATCGTTCATGATTTCAGCTATACGGTCACTATTAAAGTACCATCTAATTCTGTCTAGTTGGTTCATTTCAACACCGGTGTGTAGAGTGACTGAATCTCCCTCCATCACTGACACTCGGTCGACATCAGCACCATACGAACCTGAAGAAACAATTGACATATTGGCACAAAATTATACAACAGGAAAGTTAAAAAAAAAAAATTTAGTACTACTTTTCACTAAACTTTAACACTACTTAAACTTTTCACTACTTTTAGTGTAGGTAAAGAAAAATATGACTCTATTCACTGAGTGGTTCAAGCCAGAGTGATATTTTATTTTTATTATTATTATTATTTTTTTAAATAAGTGAAAAATGACTAAAAAAATACAGATAATAGGACTTTATCACACTTGGCAAAAATGTGATTTGGCATGGATCTTAAAAAGTCATCAGCTGCCAGACTTGATCAGCCTGTGTGGCAAAAAATGCCGTAATACGAGATCTTGTTGCTGGTAACATGAGGAAATTGTAAACATTGTTCATTTACATGTACTATTGACACTGCTAAAATACTGAGCTAGATAAAATCGGCAAACATCCTTTTAAACTGTGCACAAGTTAAAGTGTCCGCATCTAGTGTTTTTTAAAGCTACATGCCATGTGAGCGTGTCAGGACAAATGCAGGAGGAAACAAGATTGTGTCATTTACTATGTGTTTGCCCATCTGAACTATGAGATCTGCAAGATTAGTGATAAAGTTTGTAAGCTTGTCTCGTTTAGAGCTCGTGTTTCCTACAGCACATGATGGACATTTGTAACTTCACACATGTGAAGGTGATAGAGATGATCTCAATAATGAAATACTAAATCAAAGCAACTTAAAAATAAGTTGAACGTTTCTGAAATTGCAATGAATTGAATGATTAAATGATCCTCACCAGTGACAGAAACACTGAAGCTCCTTATGATGCTGAATCTGCTGTTTTTGATCTGTAGTTTATATTCTCCAGAGTCTTCAGTTGTGGTGTGTGTGATGGTCAGAGATCCAGTCTGATGATCCAGCTTCAGTCTGTCTCTGAATCTCTCTTCACACTGATCATCTGTACAGATCTGACTCTGATCTCCAGTGATTTCAACAATGAGAATGTCATTAAAATACCACATTATCACATCATTTGGGGTCGTTACTAGTACTACACCAGGATCTAAAGTGACAGATTCTCCCTCCGTTCTCTTCATTTGATCTAGTTCAGTAGCAGAAACACCTGAAACACAAACCAAGATGAAACACTAAAAACTCACCAATGAAATTATTTAGAGTGATTTTAAATCAAACTGAACTTTTTAATGACTATAATCCACTAATGACTCACCACGGACAGTCACATTAAACATTTGTTCTGTGTTGCGGCTGTTGATCAGTAGTTTATAAACTCCAGAGTCTGTATTTTTGGTGTTTGTGATGATCAGAGATCCAGTCTGATGATCCAGCTTCAGTCTGTCTCTGAATCTCTCTTCACACTGATCATCTGTACAGATCTGACTCTGATCTTTCATGATTTCAGCGATACGATCGCTATTAAAGTACCATCTAATTCTGTCTTGTTGGTTCATTTCAACACCAGTGTTTAGAGTGACTGAATCTCCCTCCATCACTGACACATCTTTATCAACATCATACGAACCTAGAGAAGAAATGTACAGTTCATTATTTGTCACTTCCGAGATAAGGCTAATGAGACAAAGTGCTCTGAAAATGATCAAGAAATGTGTCTGTATTCAGACATGCAAGCAAACAAACAGCAGAATAATACATAGCCTATTTTCACATGGATCTCTTCCGACTTAAAATAGTACAAGCAATCCTGATTCATATCCTCACACATATTTGTGCATTCATATATCATAGACTTAGATCCATGATAATTTTGTTGCCTAAACTTTAAACTACGACAGTTTTCAACGTTGTAATTTTTAAAAACATTCTATCTAAAACGTGTAAAACTGTAAAAATGTCATTGTAATCAGTTAAGAAATTACTTTTCTGTCAAGTGATTTACACGTTACAAAAATGAAGCAAATAAGCGCCATTTGTTTATTTACTATAAGAGAAAGTGATGACTTACCAGGTACGATGAATACACTCAATATGAGCAAAACAAAGCCATTCATTTTTCACAACTTTTCCACTGAAATGAATACGGATTTTCACTCTTGATCACGACGCCCAAGTGAAAGTTATTTAAGATAAATAGTTGTGACGCCGAATAACCAACGCGCGGGTCATAAACAACTCAGTCAGACACGATCTCTTCATTTGTGTTTCTATTTCGTCATGAAAGCCGGTTACTCGGTGATTGACTGTCGTTTATAGATACGTCTCGTCTCAAAATGCGAATGAGTTATAGCCTTGCATGCCAGACCTACATCATACATGAAATGATATTTGCTGCCGCTAGGGTGCGTCTAGATTTCTAGGCTAGACGAGAGTAGAAGGTAAGAGGAGAAAAAAAAACAATTATGAAGACCAAGACATTTAAATTACATTTGCTAATCCCATCCTAAATAAGTGTTTAATTCCAACATTTTTTAGTTGAAAAAAAAAATCAGTTACAGAGTTAATTTTTATATAATTATTTATTTATTTATTTACATGAGAACGATCAGAAAACCAGAGTTAATTGTTTTTTGAAGTTCCCAAATGCACCTTTGACCTCATTTGATCAGCATATTTACTGGACTTTCCCAATTCCAATTTGTTCCAATCTGATTTTGTATTTTTTATTTTTGTGTGTGTGACTATATTACATCCTCTTTTAAAAGTCATCCATATCCAATATTTGAATTTACTCTATATGGGAGAGCGGGGCTAGCCTGGATGCCAGCCCGAACTCCGCCCACAACATTTTTTGGTCGGGAAGTTCGGTCTGGACTCGATCCATTGAGGAGTAATTATGATCAGTCAAAAAATGATCGGGCCAATCAAATTGCCAGGGCGGGCTTTATACGATGGTGGACAGATCACAGATGATCTGCAGGGACGTAATCATCACGTTATCAAAGAGCGCTTGTCAGAGATGACGGCAGCTGGAGAATTGAGATGTATGGATTCCGCTGTCACGTCTTTTGTAAAATAAATTGACAGCGCATGTGGTCGTTGTGGTTTCTCCTTTGGTCGCACTCATGGAGAAGTAAGTAAAAGAAGCAACACTCGTTATTTAACTTCTAAAATAAATAAAGTAGGCTACGTTCTGTATTTGAAAACTGCGCTATGCAAAGGAGTTGACTTATGCGTTGCTCTGATTGGTTGTAGGTCTACCGACTATCCAATTGAGTGCAGAGGTTTTTTTTTCCTGGTTCGGTTACGACACGCCTCATAATCAAAGCCCAATGGAGGAGTTTCAGACTCATATTCTCTCTCGAATATGAGTTTGGCGAAGTCAGGCTAGAGCGGGGCACTACCTAACACTTTTTGACTTTCTTAGTTGGTGCAAATCGGGGTTCAGACAGAGTATTTATTTTTTCCCACATTCATTTCCCACATGTCCAGTACAATTATGAGGTTTTCTAGTTGTGTTGATTACTCCCTGTGTATTTAAGCCTTCTGTTCCCACAGTTGTTTGTTTGGTGTCATCATTGTTTTGGTTCTTTCTGCTGTTTCCTTGTGATCTTCTGTGTGTTTCCTATTTGATTTATTTTATTAAAGATTGTTTGTTTTATATTTATGATTTTGAGATTTACTGCATCCCATGTGACAACATAAAAGTTAATTGTTTAGTAGCTACTATAATGCTATTTTATATGCATTCTTTTCTGTTCTGTATATAGATGTCAGACTGTGAGGTTTAAAACCGTGACATACAAACTAAACACTGAAAAAATGGCCTCTGTGATGCACAAGATCTTTGTCAAAGATATCGCACCAGATTTCCGAAGAACGACCACTGATGGTTTCAGTTTGAAACGGAGCTGCCCGTGGCACACTTTAGTATGACTGGCAACCATGTGAGATAGTGGATGGTCTATATGATTATAAAACAATTTTAAAATCCTCAAGATTTATTGTATCATGAAACATGAAACTTGTGTATACACAAGTACTTTCGTGTCAGAAACGACCTTTCAGAAACAATCAGTGTTAAATTATATTAAAGTTTCATTTGATAAATAGTGTTTTCCAAAATAAAGAAGCATCAAAGTCTTAACAAATGTCAGAAGAACAGCTATATGATTTATATATAGATTATTGACACACATTCAGAGTGTGTGAACTATAAAAGTCAAACCATGCGAGTACACACACCAGATGATGGTTATCAGCAGATAGTCATTTTAGGTCCGCCGTTTCACTGAACAATTGAAGAAAATGTTTCACCTGCTTGTTTTGTTCAGCTTGTGCTGCTGCCGTCTGATTAGTAAGTAACAAATATATTTTTATGGCCTAATTTCTGGCGTTTCTCTGTAAAAATGCTGCTGCTAGTCTATCATTTGCTGTTTTTGTTACATAAATTAAATTAAACGCATATTATTATGAGATCGACGTTAGATTCCGGTCTCTGTTAGTGTTTTATAATGCGCCAAATGTAAAAATATAAAACTATTGAAAGTATCAAGTACACTTAAACTTGAAGTGTTACTGCGATTCTCTTTTGCGTCTCCGATCCGGTTCTTCAGTTCACATTTAAAAGTTACTGACAACAGCTGATTTCATGCTTAGTAATAAACCAACTTGACCATTAATCTGTTGAACATCTATTCATGTTCAGGTGTGTTTGGTGAGTCAGTGTCAGTGATGGAGGGAGATTCTGTTACTCTAAACACTGATGATAAAATACATGAAGATGATGATATACTGTGGAAATATAGAGCTGAAAAGTCTCTAATAGCTGAAATCAGTAGATCTGCTGGCATCTTCTCCACATATGATGATGTTCCTGATGGGAGATTCAGAGACAGACTGAAGCTGGACGATCAAACTGGATCTCTGACCATCACAAACACCACAACTGAACACACTGGGCTCTATGAAGTAAAGATGAGTGGAGCAAAACTGTCATCAAAAACATTTAATGTTTCTGTCTATGGTGAGCCTTCAAGTATTATTAAAGGGATATTTGGGGTTTAGTAGAAGTTAAGCTTAATCGACAGCTTAAAGCTTAATGTTTTGTGTAGTCTATAGCCCAGATTTTTGCTTTTCTGCTGGACAAGTGGAAATACATATTTTTGAAGTCATCAATATCATGCGCCGCAAATGCTGTTGATTGAGCTGAACTCTGAATGTTCCTTGAACTTTTTGCATATTGAAATGTTTACTCATTTTACATATTTCTGTCTATTCTCTTATGTTTTCTAGCTCATCCTGTCACTCCTATAGTTACCAGAGATTGCTCATCATCATCATCATCATCATCAAATTGTACATTGCTTTGTTCAGTGTGGAATGTGAATCATGTGACTCTGTCCTGGTACGCAGGAATGAGTGTATTGTCCAGCATCAGTGTGTGTGATCTCAGCATCAGTCTCTCTCTACCTCTGGAGGTGGAATATCAGGATAAAAACACCTACAGCTGTGTGCTGAACAATCCCATCAGCAACCAGACCACACATCTGGACATCAACACACTCTGCAGACACACATGTGATGGTACGACAGCGCTGATATTAGTGTTTATTTACTGAGGTCTCTGATTTTTTTATAGATCAGACACATTCAATTCCATTTGGTCCTTTACAGATCAAGGCCTACCGTTATTGTTCATAGTGTTGATCTCTGCTGGATCTCTGATGATTGTTGCTGTAGTCGTGATTTGCTGCATCTCCAAGAAATGTAGAAAAACAGGTAAGGAGTGCAAGTAACTCATTTGTACAAATAATTATATTTTTTTAACACATGCTTTTTTTTCTAAACATATCTGTAATTATAGTTAAAGTAGATCAAACCCAGGAGGAAGACAGAACTGATTCAGCATTGGGTAAACCAACAACACCAAAAACGGTAAAACCATTTTTGACATTATTGCAAGAACTTTCATTCATTTAGTCTTATCGAAGCTTTATGTTCAGCATCAGGCGGTCAGTGAACAGACAAAGTGTTTCAGTTTTTAAAGGGCTATTTTCATTTTGCAGACCTAAAACAGTGCAGTCTCACCCCAAGACGTCATATAACTGACGTTTTGGGACGTCTTTTGACCATACATCAATATCCGTCTTTTAAAGGGCCCTTTAAACGTCGTTGATGACGTTATCGGATCCTAACTCTACCCCAGACCTAAACCTACCCCGTCACTCAACTGACGTTAAAGGTAAAGCGTCAGTTGTATGACGGCCCAGGATCGTCATCAACCGACGTGGACCCTAAAAAGGCGGATATTTACGTATGGTCAAAAGACGTCAGTTATATGACTTCCTGGGATGAGACTGTGTTACCTAAATAGATAATTAGTAATAAAAATGTTTCAAAAGCAATGATTTATCAACCAGGGTCTCTGAGACTTGGTGTTGGGCGTCTTGGTGTTGATGCGATTGTATATGCATTCGAAGTCACCGGTGACTAAGGATGTGTAAACACATGCAAATCTATAGGCAGATGACAAACCATGACGCAACACATGAAGCGCTCATGCAAATAAAAGAGTGCCCAAGTTACACATCATGATCTCTTTTATCTGAAGGAGATGTGCAGGCATGGATTTGGGTCACTTGAACCATGCAGTGTAAATGAGGCCTAAATGGCCTGGTCGACTAATTGGCTCCACCTTGGCTCCTTGCCCCCTCTGCTCCACCAGGGACATTCGTTCTTACGGGTCAACTGGGCTCCCTCGTCCCTTCGGCTGCTCTTGGTCAGTCGTTGCTCTGCCTTTGCCACGGACTTTCAGGCTTTTGTAAAACCCAAAGTATGGCACCAAGATGCAACTAAGACGTTTCTGAGTGTCACCTCTTTGCTGCGTCTTGGTGTTGACGTTGTGGGGGAACAAAATACCCACTACACCATGCTGAGGAAATGCCTGCTTAATAGGTTGCATAAGATCAAATTACTTTACAGAATATTTGGAGTCAAAAGCAAAGTGTCCCAAGCATAACAAATTTTGTCCTGAGAGGCTCATCGGGAGCAGCCAACTAAAGCTGCAAACTTCTCTGGCTAGCTAGTGAGAAGGGCAGGACTGCAGAAATGGCACCACCCAAAGGGGAGCACTGTCCCTCCTGAATAGATTTATAAAGGGAGGAAGAAAAATGAGAATATGGGACATAGCTTTCAATCACCAGGCTCAATACCCATTGGGAACCAGAGCTGATATTAAACCTCCCTTGAAATCCAAATAAGTGGTTGGGGAGGGTGGAATAAGAATTGGATGCTTTATCCATTCTTATTTATTCACCTCTGACTATGTTACACAGTGGTTGCATGAGATGAAACAGGATCTTAGAAGGTTTAGAAGAGGAAGTGGATGGTTCAGAAGGTTACTCGAACCTTTGCAGGTGTTACTTCCTGAAAGCAAATGACTGCACCCTTGCCTCCCTGAATCTCACTACCACTGCCTCAACAGAGTTGCCAAAGAGTCCCGTGGGCGAGATCGGGGCATCAGGAGAAAAAGATGTTCTCCTTCTCTTTAATTCCAGACAGAATAAGCTAAAGGTGCCTTTTTGTGACTCCCGACTGCCCGGAGAGCCAAAACTGTGGTCTGGTGCAGTTCAGCCACCACCTCTGGTGGCAATCCCTTCCCTTTTCTAAGCCCCTAAGCACGTCGGTTTGGCTTGACTGTAAAACTGCCAAAATGTGACCCTGAGCCTGACCTGGCGCCCCATTTTCCTTACCCATGAGCCACAAGGTGGTCTGACATGGCTTTGGCGTTAAGACCGGAGCCCTCAATGAGGATTCCTAACCCTGTGAGATATAGCCATCCGAATTAACGTTGAACCAACGTCAGACGCGTCATTCTTCAAAACTAACGGAAAATCAACTTGAAATCAACGTTGTTTCAATGTTAGGAAAGCAAACCAGTTGCGTCGATTTTTATTTAGCTTTGAAGAATGCAGCGTCTGACATTGGTTCAACGTTAATTCGATGAGCAAAACAATGCCAGATCAACATTGTTTCGATGTCACGAGAGACGTCGTTTCCACGTTGATTCAATTGTCAGTTTGCTGTCTGGGTATTAATGGTCTGAAGGAACAATAAAGAAATATAATTACAATCGTATTCTGAGAATCATTTACACACTGACATGGTAGTCAAACAAATACAATAAACACAAATAAACATGATATAACACTGTACCATGGTCCATGATATAGTAATATAAACACATTAGTTAAACAGTTTAGAACACTGATGCTAATACTGATTAGCGGGTTTCACTCGCGGCAAATTACGGCCGCGACGGCGCTCCAAACGCGCCGAAAATAACCTTTGAGCGATCGCGGGTCATCAGCACATACATTCAATAAACATATATAGGCAGATGTACTTACATTAAGTCATAAACGCATTAAACAAACATGAATAAGCGTGCTGAGGTGAACATTCCCCAAGACAGTCTTCCTGTGTGTACCACTATAACCAGTCCGTGTAGCAACGATATTTCTAGGACAGGCTTTCATACAGGGAGCATCCTCACACACCCTGCTCACATTCCTCCACATTAGAATAATTTGGATTCTGGAAGGGAAAATGCATGCCTATAGGCCTAATAGTTTCTTCCAGATCCAATCCTGGCCCGCCAGGAAGAGCTGGTCCAATCAAGCCACAAGCAACTCCCTGCTGTTTACCAGCGCGAGTCAAATTCAACTTGGCCACTATTTCAAGCATCTCCCCAAATGCTCCCTAATGGAGGAACACACTTTCTGAAACTCTTGCATTCCATTACCACACGTTACAACAAAAAGCTGATGTTGAGTAGGCCTTAGGCATTGTTTTATGCACACATGTGCTCCTGTTATAATCAATAACATTATACAGTTGCAATGTGATGTCTTTAGTTCAAGGACAGTCCATTTCTATTTTAGATGTGCTGCTGTGCACCTACAATAGTTTTTAACTTACGCTTCATGAATTGATTGTTATGACTATTGTCGTTATGCATGTCAAAATCCAGTCTGTGGTCTATCTCTGGCCTCCCAATTTAAATAATCATATGTAAACAGTTCTAATTGTAAATTAGTTATTCTAAAATAACCCATACAACATACGTTTTATATCATTTGATTGTCTTTTGAAAGAAAGTAGGACAGTAGTCCTACTAGCAAGTAGAAAGTAAGAAAGCAGTGTTAACTCATGCAAGCTGTGTCCTCGAGCTGCATCTGCTCTGTGGTTATTATTCTGACCTGAAATGCAGCATTGGTTGCTTTGTAGATGTGCTACAACAATCGTTGCTGTTGCTTTTGTGTGAAAGACAATCATTATCATCTCAGATGACAGTATGGCTATCATGAAAATCAAAGGGGCGTTTGATGTCACTTCATCTTGCTGCTCCTAGTTTTATATCTATATTACTGAAGAGTAAATGATTTAATGGAAATAGTTCTGTCACTTTTGCAGGTTCCTGATCGTGTCTTTGTTTACCTTTCAGAAATTAAAGATGGAGGCTGTGTATGAAAATGTCCCCAAAAAACGATGATCAGCTTTGACTTTGGCTTGAGTTATTTCTCTGACAGGATACGTCTGTTTTTACTTTTTGTATCACATCTTTTGGTATTATTGTGTTGTATAAAATGTTGTTTTAATTTAAATGTATTTACTAATATCATAGCATTTAGAAACTTTTTTAGCTTTTAGTTAGGAATTCACCCCTGCTGTCCATTATTAAATATTAATCCCATCCTTTACTGTACTCCTTAGTGTCATTTACTGTTTCTTGTTTTGTTATTTTTGCTAAATGTTATTGAATAATTGACCTAGCTTAAAGGAATACTCCACTTTTTTTGGAAATAGGCTCATTTTACAACTCCCCCAGAGTTAAACAGTTGGGTTTTACCGTTTTCGAATCCATCCAGCCGATTTTCTGATATTTAGAAGAATATCAGTAACCAGACAGTTGGTCTCATTGAATACCATAGGAAAAAAATATACTATGGAAGTCAATGAGACCAGAAACTGTCTGTTTACTGATATTCTTCTAAATATCAGAAAACCGTCTGAATACATTCGAAAATGTTAAAATTCAACTGTTTAACTCTGGGGGAGTGGTAAAATGAGCCTATTTCCAAAAAAAGTGGAGTATCCCTTTAAGACCTTTGACCAAATCCAGTCAAAATATAACAATACTAAGGCATACTGTCAATACATACAGTTCAGAAAAAATAATAACAACATATGTTGGTTCAAGGAACTTAAAAAACGCTCATTCCCCTCTTTATTAAACCCTTTCACTTTTAAAACCAAATACATTGCAGATCCCACTTAGAAATGGACTACTACTGAAATTGGCACAGACTACATCAACTGGTGTTAAAGATGGACGTGTGTGTATAAACTAGTCCTCAACCTCGATCAGAACGTATAAGACGGAGCAAAGATTGAGATTGTTTCCCAAGCATTGATTTATTCAAGTGAATCCACGGGTCATTTATAGTTTGATCTAGATGTGTGGTTTCTGCAACCAAAGAAAGAATAGCAATGAATAATACAGTCAATGAAAATAATAAAGCAACACAAAATAAAAAAAACAAACAAACACAAGTGTAGTATAAAATATACATTTACAGCCCGTAAATGCGCTCTCGCTAGACTCGCTCTATCTATAACTTACCTAATGTACGCATACATGGGGAGTAGGGTATGAATTAGGATGTAGGTCCTATGGTGTGCATTAAAGTTAGACTAAGAATACAACAAAAGTGGAAACGGAACTGGACAGCTCTCTAGTTTTGTCATATCTAACCCCATGACCTTAACAACAAGCTGAAGTATCAAGGAATCCTAACCTAACAGAATTATACATGTGAAGCATTTTGGAGAAAAATGATGAAATGAAACATGTGCTGTGGTATCGGAGTGATTAAAGTGACTTTTAAGGAATAAATGGAAAGCTAAGTTACATCGCACCTCCCCATTTTTTTTTTTTTTTTTTAATAAAGGTTCCAAAATAAACATCAATACCATCAGATTGAGATTAAGCACATGTTTGAAATGGTTGAAAATGAGAAATGGCGTCATCATTTACTGTCCCAATGTGTGACTATGTGCTTGATCTTGTTCAGCTCTTCTGGATCTGATGTCATAAAGTAGAACAATGACAGTAGCCACGCCCACCAGAGCAGAGAGGACCAATCGGATCAGAGCTTCAGTAGAACCACAACAGTGAATGGAGTCTGAGGAATAAAAACATGAGATCTGATCAGTCAATAAACGTTAATATCAACTAATATGATGAGTGGTGCTGTACCTGCACATGTGTGGTTGCAGAGTGTGTTGATGTCCAGATGTGTGGTCTGGTTGCTGATGGGATTGTTCAGCACACAGCTGTAGGTGTTTTTATCCTGATATTCCACCTCCAGAGGTAGAGAGAGACTGATGCTGAGATCACACACACTGATGCTGGACAATACACTCATTCCTGCGTACCAGGACAGAGTCGCATTACTCACATCAAACACTGAACACACCAATGAACAATGTGATGAAGAAGAAAATGAAGAGCAATTTGAAGAGTCTCTGCTGATGACAGGAACAGGCAGACGAGCTGGGAAACATGATATAATAAAGAGAAATATGGACATGTTTAAACATTTGGTACTGAATAAGTTAATTTAATAAGACTAATTGAAGGACAGGACAAATGATCTCACCATAGACAGAAACACTGAATGTTTTTGATGTCAGTTTCTCTCCATTTAACTCTAGTCGATAAACTCCAGTGTGTTCAGTCGTGGTGTGTGTGATGGTCAGAGATCCAGTTTGATCGTCCAGCTTCAGTCTGTCTCTGAATCTCCCATCAGGAACATCATCATATGTGGTGAAGATTCGGTTGTCTTTGCTGATTTTAACTATCAGAGAGTTTTCAGCTCCATATTTCCACAGTATGTCGTCGTCTTCATGTATTTTGGTAACATCAGTGTGTAGAGTAACAGATTCTCCCTCCATCACTGACACTGACTGTATTTCATTTGTTTCGGCGGCAAACACACCTGGAGAACATGAACAGGTTTTCAGATGGTTTTAGAAAGCATAAGATCGACAGATACACTCTCAGAGAAAGAGAAAAAGGGTACACAAGCTGTCACTGGGACAGTACACTTCAAAAGGGATTCTAATATGTATCATTTATGTACTAATATGTACACTTTTGATACCAATATTTACCTTTGAGGGACTAATATGCACTCTTTAGGTACAAATGTGTACCGTTTGAAAAGGTACCACCACAGTGATAGCTTTTGTACCTTTTCTTTTTCTGAGAGTAGATGTGAGTAAATCAATAATTTGATATTTAATCTTGAAAGTACAAGTTTAATTATATAGCTATATGAAACATATTGTGACTGAATGAATTCTCATTAAATTTGTAGTTGTTTATGATTACAGCAATTACAGAATTTGCATAATTATTGAAATCAAGATTTCAGAGAGATTTGATTACAGTGGATGAAAAAAATGTACTCTGAAACACAGCAGGAGTTTATTACTCTGAAATGTAAATAAACATCACTTACCGATCAGACGGCCGGCGCACAAACAGAACAAAACAAACATGTGAAACATTGGCAGCTGTTCAGAGAAACCTGATCTAATAAGACGATCAATGAAAGCACAACAGATCTAAACAAACACAAGCTTATGAATCCTCCCCCGACAGAGTCTGACCCTCCTCATGCACACACACATGCACATGCCATATATACATATAAAAACTACATTTCATTGTAAAATAGAAAGTGATTTAAATTTGTTGTGTATATTAATTCAGTTTTCAATTATGGAGAAAAGTAGAAAAAAATATTTAAGGTAAATTAAAGCTAAAATATGTCTGATTTCACAGTACCAGTTTTACAGAAGTTAAGCTTATGAGGCAAACTGAAACCTGCTTCTTTTTTTATTTTTTTTAAATGTCAGAGTGGCTATACAGCGAATGTGTGTTTGAACAAGAAAAGGATCTTTTTTAACACGGCCATTCAAGTTTAGTTTTTATTACATAGTATTTTAAATATATATGAAGAGTTCAGATGCAAAAGCCCCTAAGTGCCATTTGAAATTTTCTTCTAAAATGATCATTTTTATCAAGCTTGTATATTTAAGTTCAGTAATTTCACTTAAATGGCAATGAAGATTACCTATTAATTGTCATTTAAGTGAAATTACTGAACTTAAATATATATATTTGCCTTCTGTGACATGGTGCATTATCCTGCTGGAAGTAGCCATGGTCAGAAACAATGCTCAGGTAGGCTGTGGCATTTAAACGATGCCCAATTGGCACTAAGGGGCCTAATGTGTGCCAAGAAAACACACCATTACACCATTACACCACCACCACCACCAGCCTGCACAGTGGGAACAAGCCATGATGGATCCATGTTCTCATTCTGTGTACGCCAAATTCTCACTCTACCATCTGAACGTCTCAACAGAAATCGAGACTCATCAGACCAGGCAACATTTTTGTGGTTTTCAACTCAGTATCATCCCCAATATCAGCTTGCCACACACACAAGTGATGGAGCTCCAGTCGGGAAACATCCTCTGATTGCCCACCTCATTCGTGGAACGAGGCGGCTGAGGCCTCCCGTTAGAGGAAACATCTCTTCGTGGGACATGGTCATAGTCAAGGGCTAGTTGAGACTCCTTTTTGAGCCACTTCCAAAAGCCATTACTTCACTAAAGAGAATTGGCGTGAGTGTTTTCCAATGGCGTCATCGTCAGAGGTAATTCAAAGCAATGTTCTTGTCGTGTTTTCCACAACCGGTCAAGCAAATATGTTTTCCCATATCGCTACCAGGGCCGCATCCCGTTCCGAAATGTTTCCTGTTGAGCTCAAGAGTGTCGTGATGCAGTTTTAGCTGCTGTTCTCCAAAAACACACCAGATGGAGCCATCAGTTAAATCAACTGTTACCAACTCAGTCCTTATCAACACGAACCCAATGTCTTGTCAGCTATAAATGATCTTTATTTACAGATAAAGTAGCAGCCATAATCTTAGGGTTGCAATGGGTAGAGTAAGGCCAATTGAAACAATAAGAGATGATTTTTTGAAATAAATATTCACGATAATGCTACAAATATCAATAATTGGAATTAATGTAGTTGAGTTGGGTTCAGTTCATACTGGTGTGGAGGGCAATGATTCATTAGATTTGATTGCGCTAAAATTAAAGACAGGAAATAATGAATGTCCCCTTTGGTAAAGGTGAGGTTAAATCATCAATTAAAACCTTTTAAAGGAAAATACAGAAGAGAAGTGGATTTATCAAGATTTAGAATTGGACATATACTGGGCTAAAATCAACCCTATTGATAATGGATAAAATATATTAAATTAAATCGGCCATCTTGTCACAGACAGGCTTTCTGGCGGGCTCTGTGGTATCTGATGTAAGAAATACTCTTATCTCGTTGAAATCTTGACGGATTTACGTGGCTATAATCCTGGATGATTATTTATTTATGCACTTATTATTCATGACTACATCTCTGCCGTTTATAACAAACCAGACTGTTTGAAAATCGGTAGAAAATTGAGCAAGTTACGGTGATTTAAAAAGTACATGCACCATTAAAACAATGTTACCAATGATCGATCTGCCTGTGACAAGATGGCCGCCAGGTGCTGACGTCGACCGTCTAGCCTTTCTATATCTATAACCGTCGTGACTTGGCAGGCAGGGGCCGTGGATGCCATAGGGTCAAGAGGTCCTCGCTGCAGTCTGTAGCACGATGACGTAGCTGGACGGTCCAATACGTAGTGGATGGATGTGTGTTTGGTGACGTCATTTACGCATGCGCAGTGCCGATCTCTGATTATAATTCGAATGCATTGGTTTTAAGTGATATGTAAGCTCAATATTGTACTGAGATGATGTTCAAACTGTGTAGTATAATACTGTTAAATAATTATAAGTAATTATTGATGAATAAGTAAGGAAAATGCTAAAATGATAACAGCATGGGGAAAATAAATCTTGTAATAATAAACTCGCATGTTATACATTCAGAATTGCGAGAAAAAAGGTCAGAATTCTGACTTTATAGCACACAATTGCGACTTTATTTCACGCAATTCTGTCTTTATAACATGCGATTGAGGCTTTATTTCACCTAATTCTTTCTCTATAACATGCGATTAAGGCTTTATTTGACCTAATTCTGTCTTTATAACATGCGATTGAGGCTTTATTTCAAGCAATTCTGTCTTTTATTACATGCGATTGAGGCTTTATTTCACCCAATTCTGTCTTTATAACATGCGATTGAGGCTTTATTTCACCTAATTCTTTCTCTATAACATGCGATTAAGGCTTTATTTTACCTAATTCTGTCTTTATAACATGCGATTGAGGCTTTATTTCAAGCAATTCTGTCTTTTATTACATGCGATTGAGGCTTTATTTCACCCAATTCTGTCTTTATAACATGCGATTGAGGCTTTATTTCACCCAATTCTGTCTTTATAACATGCGATTGAGGCTTTATTTCACCCAATTCGGTCTTTATAACATGCGATTGAGGCTTTAGTTTATTTCACGCAATTATGTCTTTATAACATGCGATTGAGGCTTTATTTCAAGCAATTATGTCTTTATGGCATGCGATTTTATTTCAAGCAATTATGTCTTTATAACATGCGATTGAGGCTTTATTTCACGCAATTCTGACTTTATATCTCACAATTCTGAGAAATAAAGTCAGTATGCGAAAAGTATACTCGCAATTGTAAGGAAAAAGTCGCAATTATTTTAAAAAAGTTTTATTCTGAAAGTTCTGAAAATAAGAGCTTCGCTCGTGACCATATTTAAATGTATTCTTGGAAGATCAACGATTGTTCACCAACTCTCTACACTAACTAGGCCTATGAATTATTAATGTGCATGTGCCATCAGCGTTTATCACAGGATCGCGTTTAAAGTCTGTTTAGAGAGAACGGTGTCATCCCCTAATTTAATAACAAATTATCATTTCGACAGAATCAAAACTAACTAGCTGTAAAATAACATTATTCATGAACCGCTATAAAGCAATCTGTTACATTAAATTAAAGCTGCTTTGAAACAATCTAAATTGTTAAAAGCGATATATAAATCAAGATGACTTGACTTGACTAGTGCGCATGCGCGCGTTACAGGGTCCAACACGTATTGGACCATCCAGCTACGTCATCGTGCTACAGGCTGCAGCGAGGGGTGTCTCGCTTGGGTGGATGCTGCGGAGAAAGGAGCTGTGCTATTGTGTAATGATGCGATAATAGCGGGAGAAATGAAGCTTATTTTTATATTGTCCGTTTTACTATTTTGCTTAATCAATCATGGTATGAAATAACCTCTCTTCTAATCGATTTATTTTCAACAGAAAGACATTTGTCGTTTGTAATTGAAGTTTGTGTTTTTATTCGATATGTAGGCGAATATGTATTTAGGCTAAATGAAATGATAATATGAAAATGTAATAAGGCATTAGGTTTGCGGAAATCCCACCCTTTAATCCTTTCATGCATGAATTATGATAACCTCAAAAATAAGAGATTTTCAGATGTCCATTTGAGTGGCCAGCATGCATTTAGGCCTATGGTTTAAAGAGACAGTATTGAACATAATACAATAATCAAACAGATGAAGTATGTGCATTTAACCAACTAATCAATAGAATTAAATACAGTCATGTGAAAACTATAAAATGTATATAAAAAAAAAAATAGCCGGTGTACTTACGCAGTTGTTTACGGGTCGTAAAATAAAGTGTTACCAAATATTTATAAATCCGAAAAATTGCAAAAGCAATTGACCTTCATACTTCTTTGTTACAACACAGGCAACGCAAAGCGGGACAGGTGCTCAGCATCTCCATGAAACAAGCCTTTAAAGTTCAGTTCTGCCAGAAAGACTCGGCTGTAACAATAAATACATTTATTGCACAGCAAGCAATACAGTTCTTTGGCTAGGCCCTGTCCATAGCATCTGCGAACTCAAACGTGTAACCCGTTCTTTTATACCGCGAGTAGGCTATTAGACGCAATTGGAGAGAAGGTAATAATTAGTGACGCGACAATTGAGTCTTCCTGGCAGAACGCCATTTTCAACCCTGATCAAAAAAGATCGAGGATTAGATCTGAACTCTGCAGGAACAGGATTTGGCATCTCAGCTGTAAATCATTGATATTATCCTGCTGTTTCTTTGCCGTGAGACTGTGTTATTGTTACAGTATCAATCCAGACATATTTCTCTACTTAAAAAAAATTATTAACATTTTCACATCACTTTCCTGTTGTATAATGTTGTTCTGCTCTTAAGAAACTGTTGATTTCTTCTTCAGGTGTGTCTGGTGTTGATCCAGAGAGAGTGTCAGTGATGGAGGGAGATTCAGTCACTCTATACACTGGTGTTCAAACAAACCAACAAGAAAAGATTAAATGGTATTATAATGACATTCGCATCGCTCAAATCATTAGAGACCAGAGTAAGATCTGTACAGATGTTCAGTGTAATGAAGGCACTGAGAGATTCAGAGACAGACTGAAGCTGGATCATCACACTGGATCTCTGAACATCACACACACCACAAACACAGACTCTGGA